TTCTATTCTTTCAAAAACTGAAACTTCCTACAACAGTTGATCCACTGTTTTTGTTTACACCTCTTAATGCTCTTTTTGCTGCTATAATAGATAATAGAAGAGATTGTGGAGTAGCAGATACTAACCACTCCATGAGAAATCTCAAAATTAACTTCCAATCATATGAACTTTGAAAACCAAAAGCAAGGTGTTGAACATAGTATTTGAACCTTAGTTGGAAATATTGAGATTTATAGTTCTAATGAGTAATTGTTAGCCAAGTTTTGTGAGTTTGCAAAAAAAAAAGGGCAATATATATATATGGACCTTTTACATAGGCATCCAAAGTTGTGCAACGCTTGACTAAATAGCTAGTAAACATGAATGTGAATTTTCAAAATTAGACAAATTTAAGAAAGTGACACTTGGCCAATAATTATTACAAAGTTTTAGATATCTAAACCAATATAAAAGGAACTGGTTTTGAAATTGTGCAATAACTAAGGGTTGATATATCTAATCTTAAATATTGCTACCAATAATATGGGTAGGACTTGTATTTTGATATTTACCCCCAAATCTCTCCTAAGCATTTAACCTGTCCATTTATTATCTTTTCTTTAAATTATCATTTCAATATTAATTCTCTTTCGTATGAATTAAGTCAGATTGTTCATTTCCACCTTCAAGACAAGCATACCACCTACTTAATACCCACAAATATTACTCACCTACCATGTGACATGGAGGAGGCTCCGACATGGGCTACTAACGTGTGGGCCCATGATGGTGAGCCCCACCTATTATGGACCCATATCCCTTTGATTTTACGTCAGAGGAGCTGCATCCATATGACATTCAGCTGAACATCTTTTCAGTCATATTAAATAAAGTAGTAAAAGCCATTGATATGTGGGCCTCACTTTTCTTTGGACTCACATGTCAATGACTTTAAATACCCTCTACCTGGCATCGTGTTGTCTTTTCTTGATATACGTGTAACACATTTACGTATGTTGTTGGTTTATTTTTGTATTTTTACTATAAGTTCTATGAACAAAACGGCTTATCGAGAATCTATCTATTATATACTAAAAGTCCATTAAACTCCCTATAAACGCTCTCAAGCTGCCACGTGGCTCCCTCAAAACGCTCTCATATTGCCACGTGGCACTCTAATATAATAGAGAAATCTGACCATCGATTTTCATTTAAATCGGTGGACCCATTATTTTACATCGTTAGATCTATTTTAAAAACCAAAAACCTCCCACCGGCCCCACCACCTCTGTGCAGTACGCACGTACTGCTCCATCTGTTTAGTACTTTTTTTTTTCGTTTGTTCCTTTCTTTTCTTTTTCCAATCCTAATTAAAATTGAACCTATCTTTATAGAAAAGAATACCCCCACAAATAGACATCAAACGCGTTAAAATCCATTAAATATCATATAAATGTTTCTAACCGTTGTGTGCCACTCTTAAATTAGAGAAACGTCCAACCATTGGTTTTCACTAGAATCGATGGACACATTATTTTACGTCGTTATTAGATCTGTATATTAACTAAAAGTCCATAAAACTTTCTATGAACACTCCTAAGTCGCCACGTGGCATCCTAGAAACGCTCTTAAGCCGCCACATGCCACTCCAATATATAACCGTTGATTTCATTATATTTGATGGACCCATTATTTACAACCATTAAATTTATCTTATAGAAAAAGTTAACCACCCAAACCTAACCCCACCCAGCGTACGTACTTATATCTCATATACAACTACCTACTATATATGAAAATAATAATAATATACCTCATGTATTATTATTATTATTACACCACCCTCTTCCTAGATTAACTCTTCCTTCTCATATTTTTTACGCTTTATTAGTTAGAAAGAAAAATCTTCTATTATATACTAAAAGTTCATTAAACTTCCTACGAACGCTCCTAAATTACCATGTGGCATCCTACAAAACGTTTCTAAACCGCTACGTGGCGTTCTAATAAATCGGTGGATCCGCTATTTGTTTAATAAATTGCTAGACTCACTATTTTCAACTATTATATTTATCTTTATAAAAAAAATATCCCACAACCCACCCCTTCTCTCCTCAGTACGTATGTATGTACGTAATACAATGCCATGCTTTCTCCCCTCTTCCAATCCTTCTCTTCCTATTTCTAGATGAAAATTTTAACATGAAAAAATATTATAATAAAACATCTAACCTTTGCTTTTCACTTAAATCGATCGGTGAACCAACTATTTTAACCATTGTCCCTAAAAAAATATTTTAACGATTATTTAAACCGGTGAACCCATTAATCTATATATAAAAGAAACACTTCCCTAAATTTTACCATAGAACATTGTGCTTTGCATGAAAACCAAATATAAACAAACATTAAAACCATTAGATTTAGGTATATAGATGGTTTAAACCGGTGAACCTATCAAATCTATATATAAGAAAAACGCTTTCCTAACTTTGAATATATACTATTTTTCTTTGCAATGCAACCAAATAAAAACAAAATATTAAAAATGGAAATATATATTATGGAGTAAATTTCACAAACCCACGTAGATATATCTATCTATTATATAAAAGTCCATTAAACATCCTAAAAAGCTCCTAAACTGCCACGTGAGATTCCAAGAAACAGTGCAAAGATGACACCTAACACTCTAATTAATTCCTAGAAAATCTATGGAAAAAGGAGAACATCTAACCATTGGTTTTATTTAATCTGATGGACCTAATATTTTTTTTACCATCAGATACCATTAGATTTATCTTTAGTAAAAAACTTAAGATCAATCTGGCGGTACGAGTCCGCCCAACACATATACATGCTTCCATCCATACGCATGATAAGAGTATGTGTGATTTTTTCCTTGCTCGCCTCCCTTTTTTCGATGGTAATTAAGTTAAGGCTTAAGGGTATATAATATCTTCTATATTAGTAAGTTAATTTTATCATACTTTCAAAGATTGCATACACTTGAAAATATAGGTATAGATAATATATCTCATACATATTGATCTTGGTATGTTTTATAAATAAATAAAGAATCTTCAATAGCTGTAAATTTTAAATTATATATTCAATTTATGATCTGTTTGAACCATTGTGTTTTTTTAATTAAATCAATAGTTTAATATCTATACCAACCATATTTAATTGCTAATAAAATTATTATATTTTGGACCCACATCCATACGCAAAAAATCCTAAAAGTTCTCATTACAAATCAAAATATCCAACTTAGTTTTTTAATAAAATCAAAATAACTTATAAACCGCTAACCTTAACCTTAATTATAGCATCAATGGACCTATTGACTCACAACCAACTTAATTATATCTCTCGACATATATGTGGATGCTATTTACTTAATTCCAATGCCCTGATAAAATATATGATCTTCTTTTAAGGATAAATGTACGATCTTATGCTGTGTTCGGTGCTGAGGGTTGGGAAACCTTAATCCTTTGGAAGTTGGACATTAACTTATATCCCAAAATACCTATATCACGTTGCTTAAATCCAACTAATACACCAAGAAAAGAAGAAGAACAGAGGGTGTCTACAGATCAGTCCTTATGGATATTTTACTAATAAAAATTGATTTCAAATACTTATTTGTACTTATTAAATTATCTAATCACTAGAACAAAGGAACATACCGTCCATGGAGTGAACAAATTGGAGGGCTAAACGGTGCATCCCGATGTGCATGCATGGGTATAGAACTTTTTTTCTTTAATGAAAAGAGGGGCATGAGGTAGTTACATGTATATACATCAAGGGCACTTTTTTTTCTTCTAAGTATGATGATGTGAGCATGCTGCCGGAGACACGAATTAACATGTCTACCATCCATGGTGAGGGAAGACGAATAATTTGCTTAGTTGGACTCTACACAATATGTTAGATCTTCTACATATCCAATGGTTACAAATAATGGTCTAAACTCGAGGGTCATATATTATGTTTAATAAATTAATTACCAATTTTTCTATATAAATCAGTAGAGCCATTAATTATATATGGTTTGTGTATGTAATGTCTTTTATAACTTAAGTTTTTTCTCTTTCACTATGGAATCACAATTTCCTATGAGGAATTATCCATAGCTATGACCAATCAATGTTTGCCGTCAAATAATAAATTAATTATCATTTTTTTTCTAAAAAATGGGTAGAGCCATTAATTATATATGGTTGTATATGTAATGTCTTTTATAACTTAAGTTTTCTCTCTTTCCCTGTGGAACCTCAAGAGTCATATGTCTTAGGTACCATTTTTTATACCGTAAGATACCAATCCTAATCTCCAATAGATAATTTTATAAATAACAATTAAATTCGTCATGCAATTCTAACGAAGAAAATTCATGGGAAAAAACATAATTTTAAAACATTGCAGATATTAATTCGCTGGTATACCGCCTTTATAAGTTTCTCAAATTTATCCTACGTACGGTGCATGCCCGCGCGTATGCGCGGGCTACCTTCCTAGTTGGTAAAATAGTTCATTCGTATATTAGATATTAGTCGAGAAAGATATTCATACCATCGATCTCCGAAATCGATCCACGACTCAATGCCATGGTGAAATCGTTCACAGTCACAAATTCGTACTCAGCGTGCAAGTTCCTCGCCTACAAGGCTTACAATCGATCAGTTGGTCCCTTTGGCACTTTGTGCCTCAGCAAGAAAATTCCACGTCACCACTACATTCAATTCAAAATGTAACGCTTCCTTCCAAACAACTCACGCTCGAACGGGGGAGCAACTTTGCAAGGATGTACGTCCCAAATTTCAGTATTCCCTTGAACAGTTCTCTCTTCCTTCCCAGAATCACAAATAGCCCCCTAAACGGCGTGAAACTGAATACTTCTTTTATCAAAGGACGTAAACGCAAAAGGTGCAGTTCATTCGGTGCAGATACAATACAAGTAGGCGGTGGGGGTCACTCGCAGCACACTCGCACCCGCGTCACTAGAGATGGCCATGTCGATGTCATCCTCCTCGCCGCCGTCGCCGCCGCTGCCACCGCCGGCGGCGGCGTCGGACGTCGCCGGGACGGACATTCTGCTGTCCCTGCTGCCGGAGATCCTGGACGACATCCTGACGCGGCTGCCGCTGAAGGAGGTGGTCCGCACGTGCTGCCTGTCGCGCGGGTGGGCGCGGCGGTGGGAGTCGGCGTCGGGCCTCGACGTCCGGTTCCGCGGGTTCTACTCCGCCGGCGCCGTTGCCGGCGTGCTCGCCCGGTGCGCCGCGCCCGTGGCGAGCTTCGACATCGAGGTCCGCCCGCGGCTCCGCCCGCGCGCCGCCTACTGGCTCCGCGCGCTGGCGGAGAAGCGCGTCCGCTCGCTCCAGCTCGCCTTCGGCTCCTCCCGCGCCGACGAGCCCGGCGTCTTCCCCGGCGTCGGCCGCGCCATCTACGCCCGCGCCGAGCTCTCCAACCTCTACCTCCGCTACTGCGAGCTCCCGCGCCCGCCGCCGCCGCAGCCGGGCCAGGGGTCGTTGTTCGCCGGGTTCCCGCGCCTCACCAGGCTGGCGCTCAACAGCGTCAAGCTCCCGTTCGCCGGCGCCGGCGCGCTGCTCGAGCGCGTGATCGCCGGCGCGCCCGACCTCGCCGACCTGCTCCTGGTGGACGTGATCACCGGCGTCGTCGCCGGGGGCGAGAAGAAGGTGGAGGAGGAGGAGCCGGAGGCGTGGGCGATCCGGGCGCCCAAGCTCCACTCGCTGACGCTCTGGACGCCGGCCGTCGACAACGGCTGCCGCGTCGCCGGCGAGCTCCCGCTGCTGAACGCGGCGAACATCTCCGTCGACGCCTTCCTCGGAACTGAAGATTTTCTCGACACTCTCTGGCTGGTTTCGCGTGTGAAGGTGCTCAAGTTCTCTGTCAGAGACAGGGAGGTACGTACGCATGATCATCCTCTTCACCAATAATTTACACGAAATGTTTCATAAGTTATTTATTAGCTTTGCTTGAATTATTCCATGAATCTGTTTGATCGATTTTAATCGTGCAATTAACGAGGTTTTAAATCTCCGGTTTGAGGAGTGTGTTAACCATAAAAAAACACATAGTTTGATTTGGGAGAATTTTTAGGTGCAACACTTAATTTTAAATTGGTGAATCAATTGGAATCATTTTACTCCGATTAATAAGTTTCTACTCCCTCCGATTTCATTTTAATTGACATTTCAGACAATGACACGGTCTACAAAATATACTTTTGACCTTATTTTCTATTATAATATATACAATAAATAAATACATTTTAACTTTTATTATAGTGCTTTGAAAGACAAATCTACATATGCTGTTCTAGTTTCTTTAAACTAAATATTTTTAATGTTATTGATGATCAAAGTTATAAAAGTTTGACCTCAACCTTGTTCTAAAACGTTAATTATTATAGAACCGGAAGGAGTATGATTTAGTAGTAGTTTTTGGACTATGTATATTGGAGATGATGAGGAGGATCTTTGTAGAGATTTGTTAATGGAGAAGAGTTTATTAATCTAATTTATTAAATACAAAAAATTGAACAATAAATGAGGCCTTGTTCAGGCCAAAATAAATAAGTAAATAAATGAGGCCTATTTCAATTTGGATTCTTGCAAAAACAAATATGACGCATTAAACTGGTCCTCTCCACCATAATTTACACCAATTTTAACATTACTTGAATTAATCCATAGACCAGTTTATCTAATGTTAATCAAGTACTAATTAGCTAATTTTAGTTGGTTAATAGTTCAATTTTTGAATATTTTTAGGTACATGTTTTCAAACCTATGAATAAACCAGAAATCATTTATTGTGTATTGGGAGATAATAAAGAGAAAACCACTCGCTCTAAAAAAAACTACTCCTCAATCAGATAAACTTATAACTTCCTCTGTTTCATAATATAAGCCATTTTAACTTATTTTTGTCAAACTTTTTTAAGTTTGACCAAATTTATAAAAAAAGGAAAGAAATATTTCCAACACAAAACAAACATATTATCAAAATATATTCAATGTTATAGTTAATGAAACTAATTTGGTGTTATAGATGTTGCTAAATGTTTATATAAACTTGATCAAACCTAAAGAAGTTTGATTAGAATAAAAGTCAAAGCAACATATGATACAAAAACATAGGTACTAATGAATAAGAGAGTTTATTAATTGATTAAATGCAATATTGATCAACAAACGAGGCCCTGTTCCGGCAATAAATAAATAAATAAATGAGGCCTTGCGCAGGAGAGTGAAATTATTTCAATTCGAATATTTGCAAACGGATCTCTAGGAAACATTTTTCTTTAACTGGACTGTAAACTCGCTGGCAAGACAAAACAAGATACATTAAACTGATCTCTTCACCATAGTTTATAGAAATTTTCCATCAGTTACTACTTTAAGTGTTGCTTGAATTCGATGCAAAAAAATTGTTGCTTCGCGTTTCCTCATTCCATGGGAAAACACATGAAAGAAATCATCCACTCCAACCTCATTTTCCCGTTTCCTTCGCATCCAAAGGAGACAATCAAACACTAATAACTGATGCCATCAGTGAAGAACAAAGAAACAAAGAAGCACATCTCATAGGAGAACGATGAGCATGGAGGAGAGGCCAGGTCGTTGGCGTGGAGGTTGCGAGCGGAGGTCAATGGCGAACGGAGGCCGACGCGATGGGTATCGAGGGTGGCGTCCGGCGTGGAGCGAATACCGCATGAGAAGGTCAGTGATGGCGCGGCAGCCAGCGAGCTCGGTGTCGGAGTCGAAGAGAAGGGGTAGAGCACGAAGTGGTCCTGGAGGAGGCCAGGCTGGGGAAGAATTAAGACGGGCCGCACGGCCAATGGCATGGAGTTGGGGGATGGAGGGCTGCCTGCACACGGAGGCGATGGCGACGGGATGGAGGGCTGCTGCTCCTCGGCTCGTGAAGAATCAACGGGAAACAAAAGAGTGTGGGAAAAACGGAGTTGGATTAATTACTGTTCCTTTCCTATGAATCCCATCCTCTACTCCCAATGATCCCATCTTCTATATTCCTTTGATTTCCAACCCTCTATTTTACATTTGGATTCCTTTATTATACTTTTCCTATCCTACGTTTTTTCTATCCCGTGATCCGAATGAGCCCTTAATGTGGAGGTGGTCACAGACAACGTGAATCAAGTTACCACGACAACCTTTACCGTTTTGTTCTATATATAGTGTGATCACGTGATCCCTAGCAACATATATATTAGAGGGGACTTAAAAAGGTACTGCATCCTGCAGAGTCCATATCTCCCCTTTCCTTCCTCATCCCGTAATGAGAGATCTCGAGTCCCTGGTTTAGTATCGGCTTGAATTTGAGGTGGCAGTGACTTAATTAATTAGCAGTATGCCGTATTCAAAGTATTAGTAGGATTAACAATTGTAATTTCATATTGAATGGATCCGTAGAAGGTACATGTTGTTGCATGAACTTGAAATGTGAATATATACTATGCTTTAGCGAATCATGATCAACCAAGTGATGTGAATATATACATCTTCCTCCTTGCACAACAATCATGATCAACCAAGTGATGTATCCTTGGTACAAATTCCTTGCGGAGGGGAAAGAGGCTAATGATGAAGAAATCATGTGTCAACTTTGTGTTGTACACATCGAAATTTGTATTGACACTTGTGATGTGTTTTATATGCTCGGTATTAGTAATAATACTTGTGGTGTCATATGGTACATGGCTGATGTATTTGCTCGCACTATATGTCTCTATGCATGTACTTAATCAATAATGTCATGTTGGTCCAAGGGCCACGTGTTAGTGAGACATCGGGGCAAATAAATGATCGCATGAAATTCCAAATGGCAAAGAAGGATTGCCCCTTTGTAATTCCATGATGCTTTCAAGGAATTACGAAAGCATGACTCCATTGCTAACAGTGTTGGATTCAACGGTGCTACGTGCAACACCATATCCTATATATGGTGCGGAGCCTATCATACTCAGCAGAAACAACAACACTTGGTTTCTACCCATGCAAGGAACCTTGTTTTCCTAGCAGATCCACGACACCATGTCTAGAAATGCTAGGGGCTATGTGGTAAGAAATGCTAGGGGCTATGTGGTAAGACACCATATGCTATGGTGCCTTGTTTGCCACCCAAGCCCGAAACCTTCCATTTCGGGCCGAACTGTGGACCCATGTCCATAGATGATGGTGCAATAGGTTGTCATCATGTTAGCCACTTCGCAAGGAACCTTCTATTGTAGACAAAACCACGGTGCTATTTGTATGAACAAATCACACTGACGCATGCTATGGTTGGTCCGAGACCTTCCGTAACACACATAATACGGACAAATAAATTCCTATTTTGCCCGTCAGTTGAAATTAATTGCCATAAGTTGGGTCCCAAATAGTCCACATAAGAGTTCTTACTACATGCTAAATTTCACTATATGCTCTCAAGATTTCGCTCGATTCCTTCTATACCAATGAGTTTTGCCCCGATACCTACGTGCCTCATGACCCATATTTTTCAATTTTATTCCTCATATAATTGTTCGGTTATGTTGTTATTGAGTTGATCGTAATATTTTTATGAAATGACTATATTGCCATCACTCATAACAATAATCAATATGCCTCCGCACTAAAAATAAATCCCTCACAAGAAAATGTTTTAGCTATATCATTTTCAAGGAGGGAAAATAAACTAAATCATTAAATTTTTAAATTTTCACCAAATTTGTAAATTAGAATCACAAAATTTTAGTCATATTTGAAGGGAGTAAATTATTTGTATTTCACTTAAATTTAATAATTTACCTAATTTTTTTAGTAATTTCACCACCCTCCTTCAATATATATCCATTTTTTTTATGAATTTGACTAAAAAATTAAAATTTATTCAAATTTGAGGTAAAAATATTAAAATTTATTCAAATTTGAGTGAAATTTATTCAAATTATTATTTCCTGTAAATTATTTCATAAGTGATTCTATTTCATCATGAGGATTATGATTTAACTGTATAAGCTAGCACTGACATTTACAAATCAAGGGTAATCCAGTCCAAAAAGAAAAAAAAACAAGTGAAGGGAATATGGTTATTTCTGAAACAAATGGTCAATACACAATCACATAATAGAATTATTGTGTAGAGGATAAAAATATAAGGACTACTAGGGAATGAGACAAAAACCGAAGGATATGAAAGAGATTGAGACCAAAGGATATATATGAAAGAGTTTGATCAAAATTTTTTGGGTGCACAAGGAAATTTCTCAATAATATAAAAGTTTGAAATCTCAAAGCTTCATCAAGTTCAACAAAACCAGGAAGTAATAACAACTAACCAATAAATACAGCATCATATGTGTTCAACCGAATACCACCATGCAACACAAACCCAAGATCTCCTATATTGTGTGTGTAGGGATATTTTCTGTTGTTAGCATTCTCCAATTTGTAGGAATATTTTCCCTTGTTTACCATTCCCCAACCCAACCTCCTTCACACAGTATAGCCACTAGCTCTTTATCTCCCTCCCTACCTCATGATATTCCACTTAGTGATGGAGCAGTGGGGCACAATGGCCTTGATTATTTCCTGGTATTTCAAGACAGCTCCTTTATTCGAAAGCTCATTCCCTCGGAACTTTTGGGCCCCACCTTTTAATTTTGTTTGAGAGTTGAGACAGAGCTCATTGAGAGACGGTAGAGAAACTGTGTGCACAAAATATTACAAGAATTAAAATATTTACAAATAAATAGTAGAGATGCGCTTACTTGTTTGTGATAAAACGACCTGTAAGGTGATTGAGTGGTTTAGGTGTAGTTGGCACACATCCTCATGCTTTACACAAACTCATCTTTAGGCCTGTTCATTTTGCATGCATCGCTACAGAAGAACATGGCTCAACCCCTTTGGTTGTCTGTATTTTTTGTTCCGAACTTTCTTTTCCTCTGGCTACTAAGATGTTTCAGTCAGTTAAGTAGTCTCTGAGTTGGAACTAGAAATCATTGGGGAAAATATACCTATCTCTTGTTAATAGTTTTAAAAGTAACTAGGAAGGTAGCCCGCGCATACGCGCGGGCATGCACCGTACGTAGGATAAATTTGAGAAACTTATAAAGGCGGTATACCAGCGAATTAATATCTGCAATGTTTTAAAATTATGTTTTTTTCCCATGAATTTTCTTCGTTAGAATTGCATGACGAATTTAATTGTTATTTATAAAATTATCTATTGGAGATTAGGATTGGTATCTTACGGTATAAAAAATGGTACCTAAGATATATATGACTCTTGAGGTTCCACAGGGAAAGAGAGAAAACTTAAGTTATAAAAGACATTACATATACAACCATATATAATTAATGGCTCTACCCATTTTTTAGAAAAAAATGATAATTAATTTATTATTTGACGGCAAACATTGATTGGTCATAGCTATGGATAATTCCTCATAGGAAATTGTGATTCCATAGTGAAAGAGAAAAAACTTAAGTTATAAAAGACATTACATACACAAACCATATATAATTAATGGCTCTACTGATTTATATAGAAAAATTGGTAATTAATTTATTAAACATAATATATGACCCTCGAGTTTAGACCATTATTTGTAACCATTGGATATGTAGAAGATCTAACATATTGTGTAGAGTCCAACTAAGCAAATTATTCGTCTTCCCTCACCATGGATGGTAGACATGTTAATTCGTGTCTCCGGCAGCATGCTCACATCATCATACTTAGAAGAAAAAAAAGTGCCCTTCATGTATATACATGTAACTACCTCATGCCCCTCTTTTCATTAAAGAAAAAAAGTTCTATACCCATGCATGCACACCGGGATGCACCGGTTAGCCCTCCAATTTGTTCACTCCATGGACGGTATGTTCCTTTGTTCTAGTGATTAGATAATTTAATAAGTACAAATAAGTATTTGAAATCAATTTTTATTAGTAAAATATCCATAAGGACTGATCTGTAGACACCCTCTGTTCTTCTTCTTTTCTTGGTGTATTAGTTGGATTTAAGCAACGTGATATAGGTATTTTGGGATATAAGTTAATGTCCAACTTCCAAAGGATTAAGGTTTCCCAACCCTCAGCACCGAACACAGCATAAGATCGTACATTTATCCTTAAAAGAAGATCATATATTTTATCAGGGCATTGGAATTAAGTAAATAGCATCCACATATATGTCGAGAGATATAATTAAGTTGGTTGTGAGTCAATAGGTCCATTGATGCTATAATTAAGGTTAAGGTTAGCGGTTTATAAGTTATTTTGATTTTATTAAAAAACTAAGTTGGATATTTTGATTTGTAATGAGAACTTTTAGGATTTTTTGCGTATGGATGTGGGTCCAAAATATAATAATTTTATTAGCAATTAAATATGGTTGGTATAGATATTAAACTATTGATTTAATTAAAAAAACACAATGGAATTAAATATGGTTGGTATAGATATTAAACTATTGATTTAATTAAAAAAACACAATGGTTCAAACAGATCATAAATTGAATATATAATTTAAAATTTACAGCTATTGAAGATTCTTTATTTATTTATAAAACATACCAAGATCAATATGTATGAGATATATTATCTATACCTATATTTGCAAGTGTATGCAATCTTTGAAAGTATGATAAAATTAACTTACTAATATAGAAGATATTATATACCCTTAAGCCTTAACTTAATTACCATCGAAAAAAGGGAGGCGAGCAAGGAAAAAATCACACAGACTCTTATCATGCGTATGGATGGAAGCATGTATATGTGTTGGGCGGACTCGTACCGCCAGATTGATCTTAAGTTTTTTACTAAAGATAAATCTAATGGTATCTGATGGTAAAAAATATATTAGGTCCATCAGATTAAATAAAACCAATGGTTAGATGTTCTCCTTTTTCCATAGATTTTCTAGGAATTAATTAGAGCGTTAGGTGTCATCTTTGCACTGTTTCTTGGAATCTCACGTGGCAGTTTAGGAGCTTTTTAGGATGTTTAATGGACTTTTATATAATAGATAGATATATCTACGTGGGTTTGTGAAATTTACTCCATAATATATATTTCCATTTTTAATATTTTGTTTTTATTTGGTTGCATTGCAAAGAAAAATAGTATATATTCAAAGTTAGGAAAGCGTTTTTCTTATATATAGATTTGATAGGTTCACCGGTTTAAACCATCTATATACCTAAATCTAATGGTTTTAATGTTTGTTTATATTTGGTTTTCATGCAAAGCACAATGTTCTATGGTAAAATTTAGGGAAGTGTTTCTTTTATATATAGATTAATGGGTTCACCGGTTTAAATAATCGTTAAAATATTTTTTTAGGGACAATGGTTAAAATAGTTGGTTCACCGATCGATTTAAGTGAAAAGCAAAGGTTAGATGTTTTATTATAATATTTTTTCATGTTAAAATTTTCATCTAGAAATAGGAAGAGAAGGATTGGAAGAGGGGAGAAAGCATGGCATTGTATTACGTACATACATACGTACTGAGGAGAGAAGGGGTGGGTTGTGGGATATTTTTTTTTATAAAGATAAATATAATAGTTGAAAATAGTGAGTCTAGCAATTTATTAAACAAATAGCGGATCCACCGATTTATTAGAACGCCACGTAGCGGTTTAGAAACGTTTTGTAGGATGCCACATGGTAATTTAGGAGCGTTCGTAGGAAGTTTAATAAACTTTTAGTATATAATAGAAGATTTTTCTTTCTAACTAATAAAGCGTAAAAAATATGAGAAGGAAGAGTTAATCTAGGAAGAGGGTGGTGTAATAATAATAATAATACATGAGGTATATTATTATTATTTTCATATATAGTAGGTAGTTGTATATGAGATATAAGTACGTACGCTGGGTGGGGTTAGGTTTGGGTGGTTAACTTTTTCTATAAGATAAATTTAATGGTTGTAAATAATGGGTCCATCAAATATAATGAAATCAACGGTTATATATTGGAGTGGCATGTGGCGGCTTAAGAGCGTTTCTAGGATGCCACGTGGCGACTTAGGAGTGTTCATAGAAAGTTTTATGGACTTTTAGTTAATATACAGATCTAATAACGACGTAAAATAATGTGTCCATCGATTCTAGTGAAAACCAATGGTTGGACGTTTCTCTAATTTAAGAGTGGCACACAACGGTTAGAAACATTTATATGATATTTAATGGATTTTAACGTGTTTGATGTCTATTTGTGGGGGTATTCTTTTCTATAAAGATAGGTTCAATTTTAATTAGGATTGGAAAAAGAAAAGAAAGGAACAAACGAAAAAAAAAGTACTAAACAGATGGAGCAGTACGTGCGTACTGCACAGAGGTGGTGGGGCCGGTGGGAGGTTTTTGGTTTTTAAAATAGATCTAACGATGTAAAATAATGGGTCCACCGATTTAAATGAAAATCGATGGTCAGATTTCTCTATTATATTAGAGTGCCACGTGGCAATATGAGAGCATTTTGAGGGAGCCACGTGGCAGCTTGAGAGCGTTTATAGGGAGTTTAATGGACTTTTAGTATATAATAGATAGATAGATAGATAGATAGATAGATAGATGTACTATAAACAAACTGCCTACGAAGGGTGGTTTATATATAGATTCAGGAGGAGAGGAGGGAGAGAAAGGCGGCAAGCCCTGTTCTTATGTGTGCGTATAAGTACCCCCTAATTAGCAGTACCACTCAAAGCCCCAGCTATAGAGCACATCGTTAAAGTTCATAGAGTCATGGACAACATGTGAATTCTAGGATGCATCCCACATGGCCTACACGGTATGAAAGTGTTGTGCTTTTTGTGAACCAACTGCAATTTATGTTGAGACTTGGAGTCTATTATTTATGTTCCCCACAAAGAAATGAGAGTCTCTTTCTAGAAAAAGTTCTGCTAGAGGTTCATTTGCGGAAACTATTTTTAGAAATCACTAAATTCAAAAAAGAAACTTGCTCATCTGCACACAAGATCCTCCTTTATTGATCAATCTCTAGCATTTAACCCATTAATAAGTTTGTCTCCAATAATAAATTTGCTGAATTTGCAACCGGTTTTTAGAGCTAGCGGATTTATTTTTTTGCATAAGATTCTCGTTATGATCTCCAAATATACTTTTCTATCCATTCCAAAAACAAAACAAAAAAGCATCAACGTCAGATGCTTTCATCGTCATTTTATTTTTGTAATTGCTTTAAAATTATAATCTGTCATTCTGAATTTGGACAGCCCAATCACACTGGTATAATTTCCTTTGTTATTTGTGGTCCTTTTTTAATCCTCATTATTCATTTGGCATGAAGAGAGTGTGTGTGTGTGTGTGTGAGTGTGTGTGTGAGTGTGTGTCCTCTATCCTACCTGTAGGCAGATTCAATTTCAGCTCAGCTATAGGAGTATGATACTCCAATTACTCATACACTGTTTGCAAGCAAGTAGATCAAGTTGCATTGATGATCATATATCAGTCTAACTTAAATTTGTCATGATTTTCAGGTCGATGAAAATCCATTGGAGAGAATTACATGGAAGTTCCGGAACTTAAGGACTTCAAACTTGAGCGTTGATTTTGGCAAAATCTCAAGTATCATGTCAATCTTTTCTTTACTGCGTTGTGCTCCACAGATTGAACAACTGAATATTGAGGTAACACTGGATGCATCTCTTCAAGTCACTTTTAAAATACCTTCACAGCATAGAACACTGCTTTTTTTTCTTGTAGATTGGCCTATTGTAAAATTATAATTGGCATTTCATTTACTTGACCTATATATGTTTTGTAGGTTGATCTGAAAGAAGCACAGGGAGATGATGAGATTCATGAAGGGATTCTAGAAGCATATATGAGTGAAGATTTGGTTAGAAGTCTCAAGCGTGTGACCCTGTCTTTTATCAAGTGCTTCCCAGGGGAGATGAGCTTTATCAAGCTTCTTCTATCCAAGGCAGCATCCCTTGAATCACTTAAAGTCATGATGTTCTGGCATCATATAATGCCCGTTTCGGATGCGTGTCTTCTTTTCACGACATACAAAAAGGAGTCATCTACCCAGGTGAAGTTTATAGTGGAGCATGGCATGGACACATTCGACATCGGCTCTTAATTTGGGAGTCCAAATATTTTCCGGAATAAACGGAAGAACACCTTCTCTGGACTTGCAAACTGTGTTGGCTGTAGAGATGGATGTTGTTGCACAAACCATTGTTTGCCTTTTGTTTTTCCTTGAGAGGTGTCTCTGATACTCATGTTTGTGACTTACTGTCAGATTGCTTTAGATGTAACACCTGAACCAAATTATGGTGTTTTAGATTTCTGAAATTTGTTAGTAGACATGCCTGAATGTGTGTGATTTAGTATACTTAGACTGCGGTAGATAAGGCAGATGTGGTTTATACCTTATGCCAACAAAAAAAAAATCATGTTCCAATATGAAATTCAGGAGCTGCTGAATTTCTGGAACAGATTTAGATCTTTGTAAAGCAGAAATTTCATAAGGATTTTTGAAGGAATCAATTAAATTCCCACACATATCAAGAAAATTACCACATTTCATATTAAAAATATGTGTCGAATATGTAAGTCCTAATTGGTTATAGGTAGACATGGAGTTACATTATGGTACATAGCAGAGTTGTGGTGACCGCTTGTTCCGCACCTGTGCAACTTTTTTCTAACATCCCAAAAATAAAAGAGTTTACGTTACAAAGCCTAACAGACTAGAGAAACAAACCATTTTCTCATCATCTCCATTTCAAAGTTTTTTCTTGTTTTTTACTCAACAGTTGATTTGCAGTTCAAATTCTAGTTAGGGAATAGTACTAATTATGCATAGCTACAATCCTCATCAGCAAAGCCTAGCCTTGAGCCCACAGTGTCATACACTACCCTCTTGTTCTTCTGCTGGTAGTTGCCAATAATGGGCGTCTGGTCTTCGAATGAGAGGCTCGCCATGGCCAAGCACACCTGCGACCCATCCTTCCTCGCCATGAACAGCATCCCGGCAGCGTCGACGGTCATGTCGGCGCCGCCCTCGAGGCGCAGCGTCAGCAATGGCACCTTCACCTCGTCGTGCCCGGTCAGGTTGTAGCACGCGTCGAGCAGCGAGAAGGGCGGCGCCGCCGGGTAGCGCTCCGCCCCGAACTGCCGCGCGAACTCGGCGCGCACGGCGCGGTACACCGACGGCGCGAGGCGCGTGATCACCGTGCCGGAGTCGAGGAGGACGTTGGCGGCACCGAGCCCCGCCGCGGCCACCGCGGCGCCGCCGACGGACGCGCCGGTCACGTTCATGAAGTAGAACGGCGGCTGCGCCGGGTCGGCGATCATGCGGGTGTAGGACACCGGCGTGGCGTTGCGGTAGGAGGAGGTGTCGCCGCCGAGGGAGAGGGAGCCCGCGGCGTCGCCGGAGGTGGCGGCGGGGAGGCAGTAGGAGAAGACGCCGCCGAACCGGGGCGCCGTCTGGGAGACCAGCGAGAGCTCCGTCCGGCCGAGGCCCATGAGCCCCGCCGTGCCGCCGAACAGGCCGCGGTTGCTGAGCCCGCAGCCGAACACGAAGCCGTCGACGCTGGCGCCGCCGAGCGCGACCGTGTCCGTGGCGAGCACGCCGCGGCTGAACGACCCGTCGCCGTAGGCCAGCGAGTAGTAGCACCTCTCGCTCTTCCCGCCGCCGCCGCCGCCGCCGACGGTGGCGCAGGATCCCGGCACGCCGGTGGCCGCCTTGAGGGAGGCTTCGCAGGCGGAGGCATTGCAGGGGACGGCGGCGTAGGAGGCGGAGCCGGACGGGTCGAACAGCGGGTCGCGCTGCGCGTAGCAGACGGAGCACGGCTTGCACTGCACCCAGGTGAGGTCGCTGCCGGTGTCGACGATGACGGTGAGGTTGCCGGCGCCGGCGCGGGAGGATCCGCCGCCGCCGAGAGCGATGGTGGTGACGTAGTTGAGCGTCTGGAAGCGGATGCCGGAGGTCAGGGGGACCTCGGCGCCAGCGGCGGCGGCGGCGGCCGCCGTCGCCTTCTTGCCGGACTGCGTGAACGCTGCCTTGTTGCGGAGCTGCAACGAGTTGGCACGCGCCTCGTCGGCGGCGAGGAGGCGGCGGAGGTAGGTTTCTTGGGCGGCGGGGTGGTCGGGGATGGCGGTGAGGGAGTGGTGCTTCAGCTCTAGGACGGTGGTGCTCCTAGTCCTCGTTCTTGCTGCTGCTGCTGCTTTCTTGTGTTCCCCTGATTTAAGAAAATGAAGCAGAGTTATTGAAAATATTTGAAATTGTAGAAAAAATTTGATGCCGTTAATTTTTTAAACAACGTTTGACCATTTGTCTTATTTAAAATTTTTGAACAAATATAAAATATTTAAATCATGCTAAAAGAACATTCAATGATAAATCAAGTTACAATAAAATAAATAATAATTATATAAAATGTTTTAATGTTGAATGGTTAAACGTATTTTAAAAAGTCAACAATATCATACATTGAAAAAGGATAGAGTATAAAGCAGAGTAATGTAATTTAATATTGGTTTATATTTTTGCAACTAATATTAGTGTCTAATATATATATAAAAAAGAAGGGCTCTACACGATCTAGATTGATCATGGTGGATTGGTGATGGTCTTTATTTTGGGGTTGTAAAATTAACCATAACCGAACGTACTGTACTGCATATGGATTTATAAAAAGATGAAATTGAAGCTACTTTAGAAAAACTCGGAACATGAAATATATTTTGTAGGGAACGCCAAATTCAGGTGGAATTTGTACAGCCCAAATAAATTTGGAGCGAAGATGTGGTACACTGAATCCGAATGGAACTTCTTGTGAAAACACATAAAATTCGAAATTAACTTACACTATTATTTTCGAGAATACGCATAAGTCTTGCATATCCTTGTATTAGGGAGGGGGCAAAGTTACAACTTGCCAATTTACAGAAAAAAGTGTGTGTAGCTTTAACTTGTATGGGACAATTCGAATACATAATTGGAGAAGGTTTGGTAGGTAACAGGGCTACCAAGAAAGCAGAGTAAAATATAGCCCTCAAAACAAGATGGATTATATCGCCCGAGAGGATGCTGCTTTCCCTTATACAATTTTCTCTCAAATGCATCGGAAATATGGTTATGAAAATTTTTGAAAAGAATTGACAATACACACTACAGTGATATATCTATCGCTCTAAAAAAATTAGGACTGCGGTGAACACTGTAATATTGATGTTGATAACAGGGGAGACACAATTCTCCAGTGAATGAGAAAGATGGATCAGCTAACTCTCTCAACTCTCAGTACCTAGCATTACATGAGATGCCTGCAGGTTCATAAAATAATGAGAATATTATCACTGTAATTTTGGGCTTCTCTCTGAAGCTAACCTTAAAAGCCAAACCCCACAAATAATTCAACTGCTGCTCAGACATTATTTAGCAACTACTTATTCCGTTTGTAATATATTACAAGTCGTATGATTTTTTTCTTAATCAAACTTGTTTAAATTTAACTAAGTTAATATGTAGAAAAAAATATACTAACATTTCCAGTATAAAACAAACAAATTATCAAAATATATTCAATATTAAATTTAATAAAATTAATTTGGTGTTGTAAATGTTACTAATTTTACTATAAACTTACTCAAATCAAAAGAATTTTGACCAAGAAAAAAACAAACGATTTATAATATGAAATGGAGGGAGTAGTAACTTGTAATTACCTGTCATCTTCTTCTCAAAGCGCTTTGATTGGGAATACCGGACCTGGCCGGACGAGCCCCATTGCAGCTCGCGCAGCTGAAGCACTGCGCTGTCCCTGCCGACGACGGCGCCTCCGCCGGCGGCGACCACCACCGCAAGAAGAAGAAGCGCGAGGACATGGAGGAGGAGAAGATGGCGGCCATCCATTGCCAATGATCTGATCTCGATGCCGTAGCAGTAGTCAGTACAGATCTCTGGCTCTTACTCTTAGGCAGCAATGCAAGATGAGAGGTAAGAAGCTGATCTGAACTGAAAGGTACTCCTAGTTCGTAGCTAAGGTTAGCTAAGCTAGCTAGCTAGCGACCAAGCAGGATGCGGTGAGTACAAGAGACAAGAGAATGTGAAGCTACCTGCTGCTTGCTACATGACGACGAAGACGATTATATATATGCAGATGATGAATGGCTGGATCATGGATTGGGATATATAGTTTTAGTTGTGCAGAGAGAGAGAGAAAGAGAGAGAGAGATTATTCCTGAGGGGTGAGGGCACCTGCAAGGGTAGCTAGGGAACAAGCAGACGACTGAGATAGTCTCTGCACCTGCTTTGGATGCACGCCTGATACGAACGAGATAGGGCACACGAGATTACTGTAGCGTTGCGAATTATTTGCAATCACGAGCATGCATGCACGAGAGTGAGAGAGCAGTAGTAGTAGCAGCATTTCTCTCTTCGCTTTAACTTGTTTTCTAAATTAAACTTCATTAAGTTTAACCAAGTTTATAGAAAAATACAGTAAATCTTATAATATCAAACTGGTTTAATTAAACCTAGCTAACATTAAATATATTTTAATAATATGTTTGTTTTAGGGCTAAAAATGTTTCTATATACTCCCTCCATTTTAAAATGTTTGACACCGTTCACTTTTTAGTACGTGTTTGACCATTCGTCTTATTCAAAAAAATTTAAGTGATTATTTATTCTTTTCATGTCATTTGATTCATTGATAAATATACTTTCATATACACATATAGTTTTACATATTTGACAAATTTTTTTAAATAAAACGAACGATCAATCATGTGCTAAAAAGTCAACGGTGTCAAATATTTTGAAACGAATGGAGTATATGTTTTTTCTATAACTTACATTAAACTTAAAAAAATTGACTAAGAAAAACGTCTGGACAGACGTAGGGAGTAATCTATGCATGTGTTGTGTTGTTTGGTTGCGGAGAGGATGGTAGTAGGGCACGCATAATCGCATATGTGCACATACTATATAGGCATATGCGAGCACTCGCTCAACTGCTCCCGTGAACTACTAATCCATGAACATGGGCGAAAGGGATGGATGGATGGATCGGAGGGATATATTTGCTAGAGGAATTGATGATGAATTACATTCGAATCGATGAAGGCGAGATGAACATCTTTCATATTCTTTATAGCTTATGAACTGTCGCACGATTAATTAATTATGTGACCTTCATCTTCATCTTCAGCTCCCTCTGATTCACAAATTTCGATGAAATCACGCGTCTCCAGTGGATTTTTTTTCTTTTGTTAAACTGAAAATCAATACTCCCTCCGTCCCATAACATAGTAACCTAGAATCGGATAAGACATATCCTAGTTTTATGAATTTGGGGATACTTCTTATCCAGATTCGTAGTACTAGGATACGTCCCATATCATACTAGATGGCTATATTCTGAGACGGAAAAAATATAACATAGACTGACATATGATCTGCGATGGAGGTTTACATAGAGATGATGAACTATTGTGAGCAATCATGCATGGATTTTTTTGGGTGTGCTAATCCTTAGTACTACCTCCATTCAAAATTAGTGATCACTTTGACTTTTTGCATGCAACATTTGATCATTCGTCTTATTTAAAAAAATTAATGTAAATATAAAAAAAATATAAGTCATACTTAAAATACTTTTGATAATAAATAAAATCACAAACAAAATAAGTAATAATTTCATAATTTTTTAATAAGACAAACAATTTAATATTATAAAACAAATTTAAATGACAAGTATTTTGGGACGGAGGTAGTACAAAAGTTCCAGTTGCTGCATCATGAAAAGCTAAGAGTGAGCATTAATTGCTATATTAATTGCTATACGTACAATAAAACTTCATACGATCAGAGTACAATACTTTGATGGTGTTCTTTTCTCCTGAAGATGAAAATGAATATTAATTTTTTTACACAAAACGAGGTGGTATTAACGTATGATTGATTGAGTTTTAATTATTATAAACTTGAAAAATAGATTAATATGATATTTTAGAGTAACTTTTAGATAGAAAGTTTTCGTGCGAAACACACCGTTTAGCAGTTTAAAAAGTATGCCACGAAAATCTTAATATTCTTCAACTCTTTTGGAGAAAAGAACTGGACCTTCGTAGTCTCTGGTGTGTGCTGAAAATATGGGATCCAACCTGTTCCCACCCAATCAAAAATCATTCATGGTAGGATCGTACTAAAATCGTACAAATTTCATCGTAACGCAAAGCAATTTCCCTATTTTGTTCCGGTGTGCAGAGGCAGCCTCATCATACTGGATAAAACTAGAATAACGGTTTAATCCCGTCCAACAGTTAGAACGGATCTCTTTAATTCCTACTATCTCAAATCACTACCCAATTCTCGAGGGAGCGATGCAATGCTAAACATAATTTAAAGTTCATCTTAGGCTCTGTTTATTTGTAGGGGTGAAAAATTTTGGTGTATCACAGCAGATATATGGACATACATTTGGAGTATTAAACGTAGTCTAATAACAAAATAATACAGATTCCGCCTATAAACTAAGAGACAAATTTATTAAGCCTAACAAATCCATCATTAGCAAATGTTTACTGTAGCACCATATTATCAAATCATGGAGTAATTAGGCTTAAAGATTCGTCTCGTAAATTAGTCACAACCTTTGCAATTATTTATTTTTTTAGCATACAGGTGTTCAAACGTTCGATGTGATAGGGTGAAAAATTTTATGGAGGGATCTAAACTAGGCCTTAGAATCCTTCTCGAATTTCAAAAGACATTAAAACAGATAATGAAGCATGGTCTAAGCAAGTCAACACACTTTATCCATCGAAAAGCTAGAGCACAATGTGCAAGGATGCTCATAAGGTGAAGTCTGCATCTTAGGATTAATCAAATTGAAATCTACCCTTTGTTTTGCTAATGATTTGGTATTGTTTGGATTTTAGCCGTTCTCAACCATACAAAAGATTTTGGTAAAGTTGATTGTTTGGTTTGATGCCAAAATTTTGGCAAAGTTGGTTCAAAGTCTGAGTTCGTTTCTATGGGTTCCCAACTCATCCCTCTCGTATTCCACGAGCACGCTTTTCAAACTGCTAAATGGTACATTTTTTGCAAAAAGTTTCTATGCGAACGTTATTTAAAAAAATTCATATTGATTCATTTTTGAAAAAATAGCTAATACTTAATTAATGCTGCGCTAATGGACCGCTCCATTTTCCGTGCGCAGCAGCTGTGTTACCAACTCTTGGAAACAAACACAGTTCTACTTGCAAAAGATTGGCATATGCCAATTCTTTTAGCAACGAAGCAAATGAACCTATTACTACCTCCATCTCAAAATAAGTACAGCGGTGGATATCCGTGACTAACGTTTGACCATCCGTCTTATTTGAAAAATTTATAAAAAATTTAAAAATATTTAGTCACACAAAATATTATTCATGTTTTATCATCTAATAGCAATAAAAATACTAATCATAAAAAAAATTTTAAATAAGACGAACGGTCAAACGTTGAACATGAACAGTGCAAAACTGCACTTATTTTGGGACGGAGGGAGTATTATTTTTGGGGGGCATGGTTGAGACTATGGCATTGACCCAGACAGGCAGACACACCCTTGAATCAAATTCTAGATTAATTTCTGTCCCGAACGAAAACATTGGACTTGAATAAAATTATGCGATTAAAGCCTGGTTTAATTCAGGGGTGAAAAGTTTTTACGTGTCACATCGGATATACGGACACATATTTGAAGTATTAAACGTAGTCTAATAACAAAAATTACACCTGTAAACTGTGAGACGAATTTATTAAGCCTAATTAATCCATAATTAGCAAATATTTACTGTAGCACCATATTATCAAATTATGGTGCAATTAGGCTTAAAAGATTTGTCTCACAATTTTACACGCTATCTGTGTAGTTAGTTTTTTTTTTGTCTATATTTAATACTGCATACATGTGGCCAAACATTCGATGTGACAAGGTAAAAAGTTTTTGTTAGTTTTTTTTTTTGTCTATATTTAATACTACATACATGTGGCCAAACATTCGATGTGACAAGGTAAAAAGTTTTTGTTTGGGAACTAAACAGGGCCTAACTCCAACAATTCAAATGCCTAGGATCCAAACATGGCCCTACTTTGGGCATAACGTATGATGTGATTTACATGGATTCCTAATGGGTGCGCGCGCTATCAGGCTAACTGGCGCAGCTGCGCACGCGCCCTCTCTCGGCCTCTCCGCTAATAACGCTAATTAGCGTTGATGACATTCATTAGCGTTAATGATAATGGTTAGTATTAGTTTTTAGAAAAATAATACATAAATAGAATTTTTAACTCAGATTTGAAAAACTTTCAATTCAGATTTGAAACTTTCAACCCAGATTTAAAATCTTTCACTCCAGATTTAAAAACTTTCAACCCAGGTTTGAAAACTTTTTACTCAAATTTGAAAATTTTCAACTCGAGATTTGAAAATATTCAACTCGGATTTAAAAACTTTTAACCAGATATTTGAAAACTTTCAACTTAGATTTAAAAACTTTCATCTGAAAATTTAAAACATTTAACTCAAATTTGAAAACTTTCATCTCAAAATTCAACAATTCAACTCAAATCTTAAAAATTTCAACTCAAATTCAAAACTTTCAAATAAAATTGAAGATGAAAGATTCAACTTCTCAAATAAAAAAACGCGAAAAATATGGCAAAAAGAAATGGAAAAAATGCGTACGTAAAGAAACGGCGCGCGGTAGCTTGTGAAAAAAAAAGAAATGGAAAAAATGCGGACGTAAAGAAACGGCGCGCGGTAGCTTGTGAAAAAAAGAGAGAAAAAGGCGCGTGTATTAGCTGTCACGGTGATTTACACCTATAAAGGTTTCAATAAAAAATTATTTGGACAAACATAAACAAAATGGAAAAATGTCAGCAGGAGTAAAGTACTGCATTTAACAGTTAAGGGGCTAAGGTACATAAATTTTAAAGGGGTTAAGTGCTCTAGAAAATAGTTTAAACATTTACAACTTAAATATTTAAGGGGGTAAAATTGACTTCATCAATTCATTTAAAATCAAAAGTTTAAACATGATAAGATATATATTGAACTTCCTCTTTGAGCTCAAGAAATAATTAGAAACTTAGTGATCAACGGAAAAAGCAGAAAATAATAGCCAGGCATGTTGACAACATCTTTGACTGCAGTAGCCTCAATGAGAATCATGATGCATTTTAAAAATAATGATAAATCAGACAGTACCCTAATCATAGCGTTCCATGGAGACAATATTGGTACCATCTTTTGTGGGATACTTCATCTCAGAACAACTTCGTAGTCATTCACTCTGCCTCAAGAAGGATTTCTAAGATGTTTGTACAACGACAGCCACATAGATCTAGACTCTGAACAGCTGCAAGTTTGAACATCATCCTTCCACATTACGGAGGCAGACATGAAAAGAATGACGGTCTTGGGGTTGGTTTGTCCCAAAGCCTTACCTCGAACCTAGCTTGGGGTGATGCGGATGCCCTTCTAAAGGCTCTTAGTACCCTGCATGCTTTCACATACTCTTTGTTTGATTTACTATATAGAAAAGTAACAGCAAAGGATTGAAGTGATTCTGTTTTGGAGAGTAAAAACTTCATAAAGCGCAGCTGATTTGACGAGTACGTGATACCACTCAGAGACACATATTTGAGGCTAGAAAACGAGTTCTCGTTTATCCCTGAACTTATAAAGTCATCTTCTTCAATTTCATAAGGATCGTCTCTATGCGAAAATGAAATATCTTCAGCCTACAAAAAGACCAAAAGTACCAACTGAGAAAAGTGTTGAAATTGTGACATAAAAGTCCAAGGGGAGTATCCAATATTACCTCAATACTTAGGTCTTCAATGTACGGAGCACATCTCAGTAAGGAAAATAGTGACATAGTGCTCGGTTGTTGGCCAAAATTTGTGGTCACGTGTACCTCCCTCAGATTATCAAATTTACACGAAATCCCCTCCAGTGGATATTCGTTAAACTGAAAATCAGTTGAACATAGTTAGACTGACATATGATCTGCAATGCAAATTTATGTTGAGATGATAAACTAATGTAAACATCTGGGTTTGTCAATCCTGTAAGTAAAAAAGTTCTTGAGAACCTAATAGTGATTTTTTTAGTGTGCATTTGCACCTGAATGCATGATTTTTGGTAGAGAGCACATGCAATCCCTACTATGACTGAATGTTACCAAATGTTCCTAGTACTTATCCAGAACAGAAGGCAAAGCCCCAGGGCCCCAGTCCAAATCCATCAAAGAAACTGAATCGTTTGGTTCAATTAATTTAAGCATCAAGGTCACAACTATTTTGGTGAGCAAAGGGCAGTCTCATCGTACTGGATAAAACTAGAGTACATGTAACAGTTAAATCCAGTTAAACAGTTGAGTTCTTTCCTACAATCTCAAATCACTGCCCAATTCTCCAGGCAATGATGCAATGCTAAACATAACATGATAGTTCAAGTATGGATCCATCTCGAATCTTGCAAGATAAAATAGATAGTGCAGCATGGACTAAGCAAGTCAGCACGCCTTATCCATCGAAAAGCTACAGCACAATTTGTCAGGTGCTTGTAACGTGGAGTCAGAATCTTATCTCTTGTGTTACATACTTACATTTCAGCTTTACATACTTATATAGGCCAGAAGCCACCCAAGGAAGTCAAGAGTCAGAGCTCTCTCATTCGGAATGCAAGTTAGATACAGGATGGTCTAAAGCTGGGAAGGAAAACGCCAATGGCTCTTCTAATTAAGGCGAGATTGTCTGCTGACAACAATGATGTCACAACACTAATATTAGAGAACCTGACTAAGGAGAACTAGAGAAGGCACCTAATGGATGTATTTGTAATTTGTCAACCACTTCTGCAGAATACTGTATATTGAGAGCATTATTGTGGCTGACCTTATGGAGGTGACTGACAAATCACTTTAAAGCAAATGAAATATAACTTGGGGTGCTTAAAAAGTTAAAAGCTTATAATACCCGACTATGAAACGGCGTGATCACGAGTTTACATGCCGATGACTATGGTTTGGAAGGATTCTCCCTAAGAGACAATGATTGGCCATTTTTGGGTGCCATAAATTGCTATGATGCTAATCACTAATCAGCATCAGGTGAAAACAATACAACATAATAACAGTTGACAGCAAGCACTAAAAAAAAATCCGGTTAAGGGCAAAAGCAGATGATTACATATGGAGGAAAGAGACCGATCCATATAATCCTGATCAAGCCTACTTGTTAATCACTAATCAGCATCAGGTGAAAACAATACAACACAATAACAGTTCACAGCAAGCACTAAAAAACAATCAGGTTAAGGGCGATAGCTGATGATTACATATGGAGGAAAGAGACCGATCCATATAATCCTGATAAAGCCTACTTGTTAAACTTTGCACACGCTTTACTGCAAATTATTTGCATATATTAAGTAAGGAATTACAGTTCAATAATGTACTGTAATTTAAAATTCATGCGTTGTGACTGTAACAAGAACTCACTGCCAATCGTTGCAAGGAAATATAACGTGCTGCAATATTAAGTAATTACCTCGTGAATGTTGAACCAAAGCTTCCTGACAGTAATAATCCCTCGGAAAATTTCGTGGAAACTCATGAAGCTGTTACCAATGTCGATGTACGCCTCCTCCAGCAATGGGGGCTCCTCCGGGATCCGGCAGCCGATGTCCAAGCGCGTAGCCATCTTTAGGACCCGGAGGCGAGGCGCCCGAACGGCCCACTTGTACAACGGAGGCGTGGGGTCCTCCAATTCCTCCACGTCCACGTCGTCCAGCCTGAGCTCGGCGAGGAGCGGCGCCGCGGCGACCAGGTGTTCGACCCGCGCGCCGCCGCCCTCGGCCGGGAGGGTGACGCCGCGGAGGGTGAGCGAGACGAGGCTGGGGAATCCCCGGAACCCCGGGGGCGCGAGCGGCATGTCGCAGTCCTCGAGGTGGAGGACGGCGAGCGCGGCGCAGGAGAAGAGGCCCTGGTCGATGACCCAGTACGGCGGGGTGTCGGGGTGGCCGCGGCGCACCCCGTCGCACTCGATGGCGAGCTCCCGGACGCCCTTGCTCGCCAGGGCGGGGAACCAGGTGGGCAGGTGGTGGAAGTGGCGGGCGTGGACGCAGGCGCGGAAGCCGACGACGGGCGCCGCGCACCGCCACAGGTCGCGGGCGGAGGGCGCGCCGCGGCAGCCCCAGCCGAGGCGGATGTCGAGGTAGCGCACGGACTCCCACCGGCGCCGCCACGCGTGGGAGAGGCAGCACGTGCGGACCAGCAGGTCGAAGGGGATCCGCGCGAGGATGATGTCGAGGACGTCCGTGGGGAGCGACATCAGCTCGTCCTCCCTCGCCGCCGCCGCCATATTCCGGCGGTTCGGATTCGCCGTTGCTTCTTCGCCTCGTGTTATGAAAATAGATGCACAACGGAGAAACGAATTTTACGTAGAAAACCCTTGCGGAAAAAAACTATGGGCGCCGACCGGCAATGATCACTATAGAGTAGATGATTACAAACGTAGGGGAATAACAATGAGAACGTCAACCCTTCCCGTACAGCTTACAAGAGTATATATAGAGGATAATAGAAAGACACCTAATAGGATAGACATGACTAGAAAACTAATCCGAATATATTGTGGGCCCAAAATTCGGATCACATATTTAACAATCTCCACCTTGAGACGAATTTCCTCTTGTAGCATAAAAACATCAATCACCAAAAAATACCTCATGTAGGTAAAATCACCGCGCGCCAAATAGTCTCTAGGACTATGCTGTCACACCCACCAAGCTTGAGCAAAGCTTAAACTTAGTAGCAGGAACTGGCTTTGTCATCATACTTATCTTGCATACCTTGACATCACCTTCAGCAATCACACCTCGAATAAAGTGATATCTCACATCAATGTGCTTTGTTCTCTCATGGAACATTTGATCCTTTGTAAGGCATATTGCACCTTGACTATCACAAAATATATTAATGCAAGACGTAACTCCACAAAGCTCAGTGTACAAACCTCTAAGCCAAATAGCTTCTTTACAAGCTTCAGAAATAGCCATATACTCTGCTTCAGTAGTAGACAAGGCAACAGTTGCTTGCAAACTTGCCTTCCAACTAACAGCACATCCTCCAATAGTGAAAACATAACCTGTGAGCGATCTTCTCCTATCCAAATCTCCAGCAAAATCTGAATCCACATAACCAACAAGTCCATCTTTAGATCTCCCAAACTGCAAACAAGCACTAGATGTACCACGTAGGTATCTGAAAATCTATTGAACAGCTTTACAATGCTCTTTGCCAGGATTAGCCATGTATCTACTGACATCACTTAATGCATGTGATAAGTCAGGACGAGAACATACCATGGCATACATAAGTGAACCAACTGCACTTGAATAAGGAACTCTAGACATGTACTCAATATCATAATCTGACTGTGGACATAAATCTGAAGATAATCTGAAATGTGCAGCTAAAGGAATACTCACTGGTTTTGCATCATGCATATTGAAACGATGAAGAACTTTTTCAATATAACCTTTCTGACTAAGATATAACTTGCCAGAATGTCTTTCTCTAGTAATTTCCATAACGAGAATTTTCTTCGCTGCACCCAAATCCTTCATCTCAAATTCACTACTCAATTGTGCCTTCAACTTTGCTATCTCTGATTTATCTTTTACAGCAATCAACATATCATCGACATAAAGAAGCAAATATATAGTTGGACCATCAACAACTTTGAGATAAACACAGCCATCATAATTGGATCTTCTAAACTTCTGAGAAAGCATGAAAGAGTCAAATCTCTTATACCACTGTCTAGGTGACTGCTTCAACCCATAAAGAGATTTCTTCAACCTACAGACTAGGTTCTCTTTTCCAGGAACAACAAAACCTTCAGGTTGCTCCATACAAATGTCCTCTTCTAACTCCCCATGTAAAAATGCAGTCTTAACATCTATTTGCTCTAGTTCATAATCATGCATTGCAACAATACTAAGTAAAGTGCGAATTGAACTATGCTTCACAACAGGGGAAAAGACATCATTGAAATCAATACCTGGAATCTGGCTATAACCTTTAGCAACTAGCCTTGCTTTGTATCTTGCCTCATCACTTGGAGACATACCTTCCTTTCTTTTGAAGATCCACTTGCAACGGATAGGTTTCTTCTCCTTTGGCAACTTCACCAATTCCCAAGTATAATTCTTTTCAAGTGATTCCATTTCATCATGCATAGCAGTTATCCATGTATTGCAATCATCAGAAACAATAGCCTCAGAATATGTAGAAGGTTCGGCATTACCTTCAATTTCTTCTGTCACACTCAAAGCATAAGCAACTATGTTCGCTTCTTCAATATATCTTCGAGGAGGTTTAATATTTCTTTTGGGCTTATCTTTTGCAATAGAATGTTTTGGAGACTGCTGAACAATAGAAGAATCTGAATCTTCAATAACAGGTGCATCTTGGTTAATAGCAACATCTTCTTTTTCTGGTGCATGCCCTGAACTGATCAAGTGCTCCACCTGCACACTTGCTTTCTCATGATTCTCAACAGGAACATTAGTAGAAGGTTTGTCATGTAACATAACTGATTCATGGAAGACAACATTTCTACTAATCACAACCTTTTTGGTTTCAGGACACCATAACTGATAGCCTTTCACACCAGACGGATAACCAAGAAAAATGCACTTAATAGCTCTAGGCTCCAATTTACCATTATCAACATGAGCATAAGCAGTACAACCAAATACTTTTAAGTCTGAATAATTTGCTGGGGAACCAGACCATACCTCAATTGGAGTCTTCTTATCAATGGCATAACTGGGTGATCGATTGATAACAAGCAGTGGAAACGGCTTCCGCCCAAAACTATTTAGGCAAACCTGCATTAGACAACATACAACGGGCCTTTGATATAATTGTCCTGTTCATACGCTCAGCTACGCCGTTTTTGTTGAGGTGTGTGAGGAACGGTGTAGTGACGCACAATGCCTTCAGACTTGCAATATGATTTAAATATCTTAGAACAGAACTCCATCCCATTGTCAGTACGGAGGATTTTCACCTTCCTTTCAGTTTGTCTTTCAACCATAGTTTTCCACTCTTTAAACACATTAAAAGCTTGATATTTGTGCTTCAAGAAATAAGGCCAAACTTTTCACGAATAATCATCAACGATAGTCATCATGTAACGAGCACCTCTAAAAGATGTCTTACGAGCAGGCCCCCATAAATCAGAATGCACATAATCAAGAATACCTTCAGTAGTATGTGTAGATGTATTGAACTTCACCCTCTTATGCTTGCCAAAGATGCAATGCTCACAAAATTTGAGCTTCCTGATGCTTTGTCCATCTAGCAATCCTCGCTTGCTCAATTTTGCCAAACCAATTTCACTCATATGCCCAAGACGCATATGCCAAAGATTAGTAGCATCGGAATTAGATAATGAATCAGAAACTGTAGCAACATTACCTAATATAGTTGTACCTCGCAGATGGTACAGGTTGGCAGATTTAATATCAGCTTTCATCACAACAAGAGAGCCTTTAATTACCTTCAAAATTCCGTCTCCACCGGAATATTTGTACCCTTTGCAATCAAGAGTACATAAAGAGATGAGACTTCTCTTCAAATTTGGAATATGTCGCACATCTGACAATGTTCTGATACAGCCATCAAACATCTTGATCTGAACTGTTCCAATACCTGCAACCTCACATGGTGTATCATCACCCATCAAAACAGTACCACCTTGAACAACTTCATAAGTGGCAAACCAATCCCTATTCGGGCACATGTGATAGGTGCATGCAGTATCAAGAATCCACTGGTCACTAGTTTGTGCACAACCAGCATAAGCAACAAGTAATTCTACATCAGACTTCTCATCAGTAACAACTGCGGCTTTACCTTCCTCTTCTTTCTTACCTTTTGGTACATATTTTCCGGTTCTCTTGTCTTTGTCCTGCAGCTTCCAACACTCAGAGATATCATGTCCATCTCTCTTGCAGTATTTGCATGACTTATACCTGTCTCTGGATTTTGATCTCCCACGGTAGCTACTTGAGCTTTTATCTCTTGATTGGTTCTTTGTGTTCTTCTCCTGTTGCATGCCCCGAACAACCAAGCCTTCTGCTTGTGAATTTGAACCTTCAGAGGGTACCATCTTCTTCATCTTTTCTTTGGCATGCAGAGCATCATAAACTTCTTTCAAAGTTAGAGTATCACGGCTATAAAGAATAGTATCCCTGAAGTTTGCATATGAGCTAGGCAATGAACACAATAGAATAAGGCCTAAATCCTCTTCATCATACTTTACCTCATAGACTCAAGGTCAACAACAATTTCTTTGAAAGCGGAGAGATAGTCCATCATAGACCCATCATCTTGTAACTTGTGCAAAAATAATTTTTGCTTCAGGTGCATCTTACTGGTCAGATCCTTAGTCATGCATATCTGTTCCAGCTTCAACCACAGCCCAGCGGCTGTCTCCTCCTTAAGCACCTCCTGCAAAATATTGTTAGATAGATGAAGATGAATATATGACATAGCCTTACGATCCCTTTTCTTCTCATCGTTGGACCAATCCTGTGTCCTCTTGTCAAATCCAGAAAGCGCATCATCGAGGTCTTGTTGTGCAAGAACGGCTCGCATCTTCACTTGCCAAAGTGAGAATCTTGTGTCTCGATCCAGGAGCGGTAGATCATACTTCAAACTCGCCATGGGAATTAATCCTGAAATTTGCTAGAAAGAAATTAGGGTAAACCTAGCAAAAACGCGAAACCTGGGTGCACTTCCTGTGTGCACTTCCTGTGTGCACAAAGCGAAGTATGTAGATTTCCTGGTACACAAGCTTTGGTGCGCTTAGCAAAAAAAAATCGCCAAGAAATTCCTTCTCAACAGGAACGATGTAGTCCCTGACTTCCTCGGGTCGCGTGCCCTACAGTTGCAGTAGGCCGGCCCTTTTTCCTCCTCACGGCTGTGCGGTTGCTGCAGCTTCTGCTTTTCTCGCGCGGGTGTGTGAGGACGGCGCGACTCGGACTCGACGGGGTACTGCACCGAACAGATTGATTCGGCGACGACGAAAGCGAAACAGGCGGCGGCGGCGGTGTGGTGTAGATTGATCTCCAATGCTCTGATACCACTTGTTATGAAAATAGATGTATAACGGAGACACGAATTTTACGTGGAAAACCCTTGCGGAAAAAAACCACGGGCGCTGACCGGCAATGATCACTGTAGAGTAAATGATTACAAACATAGGGAAATAACAATGGGAACGTCACCCCTTCCCGTACGGCTTACAAGAGTATATATAGAGGATAATAGAAAGACACCTAATAGGATATACATGAAGTCTTACTAGGAAACTAATCCGAATATATTGTGGGCCCAAAATTCGGATCACATATTTAACACCTCGCGTGGTGGCGATGGCTTCCTGAGGAGTGAGGACGCTACGCGACAGTGGCCACCTTCTTCTGGAAGCTTTGGACCGCGGGATAAATGGGCTGAATTTCACTATGTGGGCTGCTACGTCACCGGTAGATTCAACATCTGACCCATTCATTTTTTGTATTGTGCAGCCAACACAAACAGTAAGTTGAGTCTACAGTTGCAGCAGCAACGGCTGCATACAGTGGCTGTACCAGCCAGCCGAACAGGTCCATTATCGATTGGAAATCAGGACAGAATTCCCATAGCATATATACTACGAGGTGTCTAGGTGTATAACTAATTTTTTGCGTGGGTTTGAAAGTCAAATTCGTGAGAATCACGTAGAATCTCTATATTCCAAAAGATCCCTTCATGGGTGACGAAATGCCAATTTACTCCCTTCCCTTAATATTACAAGTCATTTTGTCTTTTCTTAAGTCAAAATTGTTGAAAATTTGATCAAGTTTACATAAACATATAACGACACTTATAACACTAAATTACTAAATCAGTTTATACCCCGCACATGATTAGTTTAGGCCACGCTGCCCAACCACCCAAAAAAAACATGATTCAGCTTGAGCTTAAAAAAAAGAAGATTTGGAGAGAGAGACAATATATTTTAAAAAAAATGATATCGCGTTGGGGATTGAAGACGGGACCTCGGGCTTAAAATAACACACCCCTTACCACTTCAAATGCTAATACAGTCTCCGATCAAATATACATTGGTGCCAACCGTGCACAAATCATTTGAACGAAGCCTTTTGATTCATACATAAGAATCTGAACCTTGAGGTGCCCCGTAAGCTGATCTAAAATAGCACCCTGGCATCTGTTGCAACACGATTTTCAGAAAAACCTCAGAAAATTTTGAACCCTGATTGTCGACAACATTCAGTTATGTCACTTCAAATGCTGTTTTATACTCGTTCCGTTTCTAAATATTTGATGCCGTTGATTTTTTTAAATATGTTTGACCGTTCGTCTTATGCAAAAAAAATTTAAGTAATTATTAATTTTTTTTCCTATCATTTGATTCATTGTTAAATATACTTATATGTATACATATAGTTTTACATATTTTACAAAAGTTTTTGAATAAGATGAAAATATCAAACGTGCTAAAAAGTCAACGGTGTCAAATATTTAGAAACGGAGCGAGTATATATTTTGAACCAAATCGTCAAACGTGAAAAGTGCTCCTGCTAGTACCCAGTATTAATTGCAACATCCTTCAAAACTCTAGGATACATTGACAGCATTTGAAGATCAAGGAAAAAAAGAGACGCAAACATTTCTAGCAAGGCATATTCACAGCTCTCTTTCATCATGCTAAATCAGCCTGTCATTCAAAAATACCAAAATGCTAAATCAGTGTCAGCCTGTCACCAAATTATAGTGTTCAACTCAAAAAACCGTCCACTGATACAGTGAAATTCTATGCATTCTGCCAACAGAAGGAAAAGTAGCAGCTGTATGTACAACAGCCACATCTAGAATGTAACAGATCAAAGTTCAAAAGCTATGCTTCCATAACAGAAAGGTGGACATGGCAAGGACAAGAGGTACAACACTCTGTAATTCCTCAAGAAGGAAAACAAGCAGCTGGTTGCACAAGAACAGCCTCATCTAGAATCTAAACAGTAGCAAGTTCCGAAGTATTTCTTCCATAATGCGAAGGCAGCATCAAAAAGGACAGGATGTCTAACTTACGATCCGTCTTGTGTCACTTTTGCTGTCAACAAAAGTTGGGGTGAAGCCTTTTGGCACTCGATTAACTCTTTGCATTTATTTTCAAACCATTCGCTCTTTCCATCATCATCAAACATAAAAGTGACAGCAAATGTTTGAAGAGAGCCTGCTTTGGACAGTAAAAACTTCATAAAGCACATTTGATTTTCGCGGTGCTTGGCACCAGTCAGGGACACATGTTTGAGGCTTGCAAACAAGTCACTGCTTATCTCTGAATTTAGGGAGTCTTCATCAATCTTTTCTTTATCCAATTCTGTATCAAGAGTCTACAAAACAAGGCCAAGTTTCAATTAACTCAATTGACCAAGAGATGTCTTTAAATTGAACATAGCAGTTGAAGGTGTGAATCTAACATTACCTGAATTTCAAGGTGCTCAATATGCGGAGCAAACTTCAGTAAAGAATCTATTGATAGAACACTTGAGAGTTGGCCAAAATCTATGTTCAGGCTGGCTTCCCTCAGATTCTCAAACTTGCATGTAATTCCCTCCAGCATATTAATGCTGAACTGAAAGTCATAAGAACATTGTTAGGCCTGACATATGTCCATGACGCAAGTTTACATTGAGCCACTAACCAAAGAAATATGCAAATATTAGGACACCATGATCTTGTAGTTACGAAGGTTCTTCTTGGACCTTCATTTTCAGAACCTAAGAAGCCATATTGTCATAAATGTTGGCATTTGCATCAGAGTACATGTGTTTAAATCACATCTGCCAAAACACGACATACCATCTCTACAAGCTAACTAGTTTCACATTCATCAATTCAGTCAAATTGTAATTAAGTTGCTCGCAATGACCAATCTATTATCTATCTATCTATTATATACTAAAAGTCCATTAAACTCCCTATAAACGCTCTCAAGCTGCCACGTGGCTCCCTCAAAACGCTCTCATATTGCCACGTGGCACTCTAATATAATAGAGAAATCTGACCATCGATTTTCATTTAAATCGGTGGACCCATTATTTTACATCGTTAGATCTATTTTAAAAACCAAAAACCTCCCACCGGCCCCACCACCTCTGTGCAGTACGCACGTACTGCTCCATCTGTTTAGTACTTTTTTTTTCGTTTGTTCCTTTCTTTTCTTTTTCCAATCCTAATTAAAATTGAACCTATCTTTATAGAAAAGAATACCCCCACAAATAGACATCAAATGCGTTAAAATCCATTAAATATCATATAAATGTTTCTAACCGTTGTGTGCCACTCTTAAATTAGAGAAACGTCCAACCATTGGTTTTCACTAGAATCGATGGACACATTATTTTACGTCGTTATTAGATCTGTATATTAACTAAAAGTCCATAAAACTTTCTATGAACACTCCTAAGTCGCCACGTGGCATCCTAGAAACGCTCTTAAGCCGCCACATGCCACTCCAATATATAACCGTTGATTTCATTATATTTGATGGACCCATTATTTACAACCATTAAATTTATCTTATAGAAAAAGTTAACCACCCAAACCTAACCCCACCCAGCGTACGTACTTATATCTCATATACAACTACCTACTATATATGAAAATAATAATAATATACCTCATGTATTATTATTATTATTACACCACCCTCTTCCTAGATTAACTCTTCCTTCTCATATTTTTTACGCTTTATTAGTTAGAAAGAAAAATCTTCTATTATATACTAAAAGTTCATTAAACTTCCTACGAACGCTCCTAAATTACCATGTGGCATCCTACAAAACGTTTCTAAACCGCTACGTGGCGTTCTAATAAATCGGTGGATCCGCTATTTGTTTAATAAATTGCTAGACTCACTATTTTCAACTATTATATTTATCTTTATAAAAAAAATATCCCACAACCCACCCCTTCTCTCCTCAGTACGTATGTATGTACATAATACAATGCCATGCTTTCTCCCCTCTTCCAATCCTTCTCTTCCTATTTCTAGATGAAAATTTTAACATGAAAAAATATTATAATAAAACATCTAACCTTTGCTTTTCACTTAAATCGATCAGTGAACCAACTATTTTAACCATTGTCCCTAAAAAAATATTTTAACGATTATTTAAACCGGTGAACCCATTAATCTATATATAAAAGAAACACTTCCCTAAATTTTACCATAGAACATTGTGCTTTGCATGAAAACCAAATATAAACAAACATTAAAACCATTAGATTTAGGTATATAGATGGTTTAAACCGGTGAACCTATCAAATCTATATATAAGAAAAACGCTTTCCTAACTTTGAATATATACTATTTTTCTTTGCAATGCAACCAAATAAAAACAAAATATTAAAAATGGAAATATATATTATGGAGTAAATTTCACAAACCCACGTAGATATATCTATCTATTATATAAAAGTCCATTAAACATCCTAAAAAGCTCCTAAACTGCCACGTGAGATTCCAAGAAACAGTGCAAAGATGACACCTAACGCTCTAATTAATTCCTAGAAAATCTATGGAAAAAGGAGAACATCTAACCATTGGTTTTATTTAATCTGATGGACCTAATATTTTTTTTACCATCAGATACCATTAGATTTATCTTTAGTAAAAAACTTAAGATCAATCTGGCGGTACGAGTCCGCCCAACACATATACATGCTTCCATCCATACGCATGATAAGAGTCTGTGTGATTTTTTCCTTGCTCGCCTCCCTTTTTTCGATGGTAATTAAGTTAAGGCTTAAGGGTATATAATATCTTCTATATTAGTAAGTTAATTTTATCATACTTTCAAAGATTGCATACACTTGCAAATATAGGTATAGATAATATATCTCATACATATTGATCTTGGTATGTTTTATAAATAAATAAAGAATCTTCAATAGCTGTAAATCTTAAATTATATATTCAATTTATGATCTGTTTGAACCATTGTGTTTTTTTAATTAAATCAATAGTTTAATATCTATACCAACCATATTTAATTCCATTGTGTTTTTTTAATTAAATCAATAGTTTAATATCTATACCAACCATATTTAATTGCTAATAAAATTATTATATTTTGGACCCACATCCATACGCAAAAAATCCTAAAAGTTCTCATTACAAATCAAAATATCCAACTTAGTTTTTTAATAAAATCAAAATAACTTATAAACCGCTAACCTTAACCTTAATTATAGCATCAATGGACCTATTGACTCACAACCAACTTAATTATATCTCTCGACATATATGTGGATGCTATTTACTTAATTCCAATGCCCTGATAAAATATATGATCTTCTTTTAAGGATAAATGTACGATCTTATGCTGTGTTCGGTGCTGAGGGTTGGGAAACCTTAATCCTTTGGAAGTTGGACATTAACTTATATCCCAAAATACCTATATCACGTTGCTTAAATCCAACTAATACACCAAGAAAAGAAGAAGAACAGAGGGTGTCTACAGATCAGTCCTTATGGATATTTTACTAATAAAAATTGATTTCAAATACTTATTTGTACTTATTAAATTATCTAATCACTAGAACAAAGGAACATACCGTCCATGGAGTGAACAAATTGGAGGGCTAACCGGTGCATCCCGGTGTGCGTGCATGGGTATAGAACTTTTTTTCTTTAATGAAAAGAGGGGCATGAGGTAGTTACATGTATATACATGAAGGGCACTTTTTTTTCTTCTAAGTATGATGATGTGAGCATGCTGCCGGAGACACGAATTAACATGTCTACCATCCATGGTGAGGGAAGACGAATAATTTGCTTAGTTGGACTCTACACAATATGTTAGATCTTCTACATATCCAATGGTTACAAATAATGGTCTAAACTCGAGGGTCATATATTATGTTTAATAAATTAATTACCAATTTTTCTATATAAATCAGTAGAGCCATTAATTATATATGGTTTGTGTATGTAATGTCTTTTATAACTTAAGTTTTTTCTCTTTCACTATGGAATCACAATTTCCTATGAGGAATTATCCATAGCTATGACCAATCAATGTTTGCCGTCAAATAATAAATTAATTATCATTTTTTTTCTAAAAAATGGGTAGAGCCATTAATTATATATGGTTGTATATGTAATGTCTTTTATAACTTAAGTTTTCTCTCTTTCCCTGTGGAACCTCAAGAGTCATATGTCTTAGGTACCATTTTTTATACCGTAAGATACCAATCCTAATCTCCAATAGATAATTTTATAAATAACAATTAAATTCGTCATGCAATTCTAACGAAGAAAATTCATGGGAAAAAACATAATTTTAAAACATTGCAGATATTAATTCGCTGGTATACCGCCTTTATAAGTTTCTCAAATTTATCCTACGTACGGTGCATGCCCGCGCGTATGCGCGGGCTACCTTCCTAGTTTAGTTAAATAGTGTGAAGCTTGCAAGGGCAGTAAAAATTACTTCGAATCGAAACACAAGTTAGGTCATTCCAACAGCCTTAATCTGAGCATAGAAATACCAGTTGTTCTTCCAATTAAGGGAACTTAGCAGTAAAAGAATAGTCCTCTGACAACTATCACAACCAAATTTTAGGAGAGAGATCGATCACTCCTCAGAACATGATGACGTATGTATCTTTATACAAGTTCTGAAAATAATCAGTTCAGGGAAATGACTCATGAACTTAGTATAGCAGTTGCAGTGTTAGTGATTGAAACTCAGAGGAAATGCAGAAAATAAGACATAAATTGATCAGCAGTAAATAATGTAACTAAAAAAATTCATAACTGTGGATGAGCATGTACATGTGATTCAAGACAATGTAATGGTGATTGGAATTCAACGAGGTATTCAAATGATCTTATTCTGACGTACCTCAGCGACCATGAAACAGAGCTTATTGACAGTAGAAATATTTTGGAAAGCGTCAAGGAATTCTTGGGTTCCGAAGACGCAATCGAATGAGATGTACGCATCCTCGAGCTTGGGGAGCGCCTCTGTGATTCGGCAGCCGAAGTCGACACCCATCGGCATGGTGACACTGAGCTCCCGGAGGTTGGGCGCTCTGATGGCCCACGGGTCCACCACGACCGCGCCATCCATGGTACCCAGGTTTGACAACTCGAGCACGGCGAGGTTCTCTGACGCGAGGATGAGGTGTTCGAGCTGCGTGCCGGCACGGGCGTACGGGAGGGTGACACCCACGAGGTAGAGGCGCTCGAGGTTGGGGAAGCCCGGAAAGCCCGGCGGCATGTCGCATTTCTCGAGGCGGAGGCTGACGAGTTCGGCGCAGGAGAAGAGGGCGGGTCCGGGAAGGTGCGGCAGATCGTCAAACGAGAACTTCAGGCTGAGATCCTGGACGCCCTTCCGCGCCATGGCGGGCGGGCGGCGCGGTAGACGTTGCGCGTGGCGACGCGGGCGCGGAAGCCGCGGATGGGCGCCGCGCACCGCCACAGGGCGCGGGAGGAGGAGACCGAGGCGGGGAACTCGATGCGGAGGTTGGCGACGGACTCCCACCGGCGGCGCCACGCGCGGGAGAGGCAGGAGGTGCGGACCAGCTTGTCGAAGGGGAGCAGCACGAGGATGCGGTCGTTGAGGATGTCCGACGGGAGCGCCATCAGCATGTCCGTGCGCGTCCCCGTCGTCGCCGGCGGCGGCGGCGGAGGCGGCGCCTCGGCCGCTACTCGCTGGCGCTTGGGGGGCGACGAGTAGGCGAAGCCCGAGGTCGCCATTGTTTTGGCGTGGAGGTGGAGGTGGAGGTGGCGGTGCGGGCGGTGGCTTGCTGACGACGATATGACCCAACGGCCTTCTTCTAGAACCTATTCCAAGATATTTATTTGGTTGTTGAGCACAGGAGAAAGTTTATTTTTGAATCCTGAACAATTGGGTTCGCATTTATAATCCGTCAATGTTTCATGTTCGATAGTTACATGTTTTAACGTGATGTTTTAACGTGTGTCTTTACTGTGTTTACCTGTCTTTTCTTTACTATATATAGCGTAATATTTCACCGGTGGACAACTGAAACATTTAACCACCCAATTATTTTGGAGGAGATCGGGCGTGGATTTGTAGTTTCTATTTTATTTCAGCCTCTGCTTGTTTGTGTTTTAGTCATTCAATTAGTTCTATTTATGCTTTGGTAGAAAATTATGTATCCAGCAACCTTAGAAAATACACTGAATCCCCATCATGGCTGTATCGAGCACTACCGCAAGTGCCTGGCCTCTCCCCTCTTCCCCGCCTAAGTGGCAAGCACCGCCACCACTAGCTTCTCACAACTTCCTCGCTACGGCGAGGCGACGAGTGCCACCACCGCCGTTGGCTGAGAGCCGCAAGGCAGAGAAAGCCGAGCTCGGTGTTGGGCGGAGCAGCCCCGACGCGGTGTCATCGAGCTTGTCTCGGAGTAGAGCAATGGCCGGACGGGGCAACGCAGAGTGGCGACGGTGACGACATCCTCTCACCTCTCCTTCTCCCCTCCCGCGGCCACAAGAATCGAGGCATGAACTCGGCGCCACCATCAATGCCTCTTTCCTCTAGGGTGTTTAGGACAAGCAAACGGATACTAAGCTCGAGCTCGAGGATGCCACAAGATCTGGCAAGCGTATTTATACTTTTGGAGCAAATGAAGTATCGAACTGAAAACTATAGATTGTAAGGATTTAAATCTCCGGCTATAGCTGCCTCTATAGCTGGAGATAGATGCTAGAAAAGGCAGCAGCTAACAAATGCCACTTTTGCCGCTACATAATATATGACGCTAATAACCGGACTTAGCGGGAGATAGCCAGTAATTTAGCCTTCAGTTAGCTGCAGCTAAGCCTTGGTTTTGGGCTGAAATTAGCTACGGGCCAAGGCCCATCTACTTCTCATGTTAAGCTGTAACCCTAACCCTACATCGTCTCTCTTCCTCGATCTCAGTCCCTCACTCCCTCTCCTTCTCCTCTACAGGTGACGGCGGCTGCTGCGACCTGTAGCGTCGACGGAGATGGTTGCGGCTGCGCTCAGAGACGGAGGCGGCGGCTACAGCTTCGCCCGGCGGTGGCGGCTGCGGCTACGGCCTCGCCCGGAGGCAGCGGCTGCGACCAAAGGCGACGGTTGCGCCCGGAGGCTGCGACAGTAGAATCAATACCACAAGCACAATCTTAAGGAAAAAGAAAGAGGCGTATGCGCCCTAGGAAGAAGAAAATCAGGAGCATGCAGTCTTTCATGCGTGATATTTCAGCACAGCCTGGACCTTCATCATCAGATACAGAAGATGGCGATGATGATGCTACAATGCGATCCTCCGATTCTGTCTCATACTGCCTCTAACTGATCAATAGAATGCACTATTCTGAATTTCTGATAAGTCTACTGAACTTGATGTTTTGTAGTTTTGTTAAGTAATGGACTGTTAGTCATGTTCCTATGATGAACTGATGATCGATGAACTATTAAGTGTTTATGTGGACTTGTCAAGAACTTCCTATGATGAACTGATGATTGATGAACTTTTTATGTCAAAAACTCATGTGTCATGCACTCATGTTCATCTATGAACTATGAAGTATATGTATTTATAATGTCCCCTGTGATGAAATGTGATGTCAATAAAATTCAGTACAATTATCATGTGATGAACTATTTGCTATGATGACCTATTTATCCTGTGAAGTCGTGACTCATGTCAAATTTTCGCAAAACAGCTAAATGGCTTAGCTGCAGCTATAGCCTGCTATAGCTTATCTTAGTTATTGAAAGCCCAAGCAGCTAAAGGCCTTAGCTAGTTATTTATATTATTGATAAATCGGCTATAAATGGGAACACCTTCAAATAATTTTGGAATTTTATTGAAAAAGATTACTACTCCTCTTTTCAGGCTATAAGATGTTTTGACTTTGGTCAAAATCAAACTACTTTAAGTTTGACCAAGTTTATAGGAAAAAGTAGTAACATTTTCAACCCAAGACAATTTTATTATGAAAATATATTCAATTATTGATTTGATGAAACTAATTTAGTATTATAAATATTACTATATTTGTATATAAACTTAGTAAAACTTAAAACAGTTTGACTTTGACCAAAGTCAAAACGTCTTCTAACCTGAAACAGACGGAGTAATGAATTAACCACCACCTTTAATTCTAATTAAATTAACTGAACAAATAAAACTACATACATACTTATAATAATATAGTAAAGTACTCAAGTATACCCGCGTCGTTGCACGTGTTAGCCGTGACTTGTGGTCTGGTGCACCAACACAACAATATAAAAGTTGCTCAAGATTCCACTTTCCTTTTCTTAGAAACACGGTATAAAACACATACATACCCACTCCTAAGCAAACATTCAATTTTCAGCGAGATATTTTCTCAAAATTACACTTTTGCTTGGGAGAAGAATGTTTCCCAAGGACATTTGATTTACATAAACTGGACAAAAGTTTTATTTATATTATACTACCTCCGTACCAAAACATATAAACTTTTGTCTATATTCATAGCTAAAAATGTTTATATTTTAAGACGGAAGGAATAGTTGGTTTTCTAGCCAAGCAAAGTTAAATGATATAGGGAGTCAAGTGACCCAAATAATCCAATAAAATTATTTTCAAATATTTATCATTCATTGAAAGATAAAAAAAATCCTAACGGCAAACCAAATTTTGCAAAAGGGTTTTTCTATTTTTCAAAAATAATCCGAAAATCTAATATTTTAAAATTCAATTCCAGTAACTCTTATTCTAGCACATAACTGAGTCCAGTGATGCTACAATCTCCAATTCAAAGTCCAATAGTGCACACAACAGTGCCAAACATGCTTAAATCTTACTCTCTTTGCTTTCTAATATTTGATATGTTGACCTTTTTTAGATGTTCGACCATTCACCTTATTTTTAAAATTACATAAATATCATTTATTTTATAGTGATTTGTTTAATCATTAAATACGTGTTAAGCATGTCTTACATTTTTGCACTAAATTTTAAATAAGACAAATGATATGTTGAAAAATCAACGGCCTAACATTAGAAACAGGAGGGAGCTCAATTTTATTGAGCCTTTTGATTTCTATATATCAACCCATAGACGTCCTCTGTTGCCGGTTGCCACACGATTTCAAAAAAGCTCACCATATTTGTAAACTCCGGTTAGCGACATGAAAAGTGCTCCTGTTAGCATCTAGCATCAGAATACATTGACAACAGATATATCCATTGATAAGACTCTAAGAGCTAGGTTAACATGTGATAAGGTAAAAGGGGAGAAATTTCTAGCCTGCATATCCACAGCTCCCTTGATTGAGTATCATACTAAATCAGTCTGTCATTCAATAATACCGCCACATGCTATATCAGTGTATACATCTCGAGTAATCGTAGTGTTTCACAAACAAGCCTGATACTCCATCGACTAGCTTCTCTATGTACAACTCTCTGCCTTCTCAAGAAGGAAAACAAGCAGCTGGTTGCCCAAGAACAGCCTCATCTAGAATCTGAACAGTAGCAAGTTCCGAAGTATTTCTCCCATAATACGAAGGCAACATCAACAAGGACAGGATGTCTGTCTTACATGCCGTGTGTTGTCACTTTTGCTGTCAACACAACTTGGGGTGAAGCCTTTTGGCACTCCGTTAATTCTCTGCATGCATTTCCATAGCGTCCATTGCTTTCATAACTGTAGACGAAAGTGACGTCAAATGTTTGAAGAGATCTCGCTTTGGACAGTAAAAGCTTCATAAAGCACATTTGATTTGAGTTGTACTTCATATTAATCAGGGTCACATATTTGAGGCTTGCAAGCAAGTCGCTGCTTATCTCAGAATTCAGGGAGTCTTCATCAATCTCATCTTGAGAATTCAGGGAGTCTTCATCAAACTCATCTTCAGAATTCAGGGAGTCTTCATCCATCTCATCTTCAGAACTCACGGGGTCCAATATGGAATGATCAGTCTACAAAACAAGGCCGAAATTTCAATTAATACAATTGACCAAGAGATGCCTTTAAACTGTAACATATCACTTGAAGGTGTGAATCTAATATTACCCTAATATAAAGGTGTTCAATGTGCGGGGCAAACTTCAGTAAAGAAACTAACGATAGAACACTTGAGCGCTGGCCAAAATCTATGATCAGGCCGCCCTCCCTCAGATTCTCAAACTTGCATGTAATTCCCTCCAGCATATTAATGTTGAACTGAAAATCATAAGAACATAGTTAGGCCTGACATATGTCCATGATTCAAGTTTACATAGACCTACTAACCTAAGCAAATATTCAAATATTAGGACACCATGATCTTGTAGTTAGAAAGGTTCTTGAAGCTTCCTTTTGAGAAAAGATAAGAGCCATATTGTTAGGAAAGTTAGCGTTTGTATCAGAGTACATCTCTTTGAGGCCGAAACATGACAGGTTCGCATCATCTGCCTTTGAGGCCAAAGGCAGAGTTTGCCATTGCTTTAATCCACACCCTTCATCCTTCGATCAACCATTACATGGTTTAGGCCCATTCCGTGAGTAAACTACTATATAGCTATTTAATTGACTAAACATGACATACCATCGGTACAAGCTCCTAGTCTCACATTGAACAATTCAGTCAAATTGTAATTAAGTTTCTCACAAGGACCAATTCAGTAAAAAAAAACTACTATCGATCGAAACACAAGTTTGATCATTCCAACAGCTTTAATCTGAGGAATCAAGGGAAACTAGAAGCAGTAAAAGAATTATCCTCCAACAACTATCACAACCAAATTTTAGGAGAGAGATCACCCTGAGTCAGATCATGATGAATATCTCTCTTAACAAGTTCTGGAAATAATCAGTTCAGGTTAATGACTCTTGAGTTACAATAGCAGTTGCAGTCTTAGTGATTGAAACTCAGCAAAAATGCAGAAGATGACACATATATAGCAGACATAAATGGATCAGCAGTACTCCCAATCAAATCTGCAAATTATTTGTCCAAATGAGCTAACTAAAATTCATAAATGTGGATGAACATGCTACATGGGATTCACAAGCAGACAATGAGGCAAGCAAGATAGGCATGTAATGAAAATTGGGATCCAACGAGGTATTCAAATGGTTTGACGTCGTACCTTATCACTCTTGAAAAAGAGCTTATTGACAGTAGAAATATTCTGGAAAGCATCGAGGAAGTCTTGGGTTCCGAAGAGGCGATCGAATGAGATGGTCACCTCCTCCAGCATGGGGAGCGGCATTGGTATTCGGCAGCCGTTGTCGTCACCCATCTCCATGGTGATGTAGAGCTTCCGGAGTTTGGGCGCTCTGATGGCCCACGTGTCCACGCCGCCGCCGTTGATGGTGATCACGGGTGACAAATTTAGCACGGCGAGTTTCTCCGCCGCGACGATGAGGTGTTCGAGCTGCGTGCCGGCACCGGCGAACGGGAGGGTGACATACACGAGGTCGAGGCGCTCAAGGTTGGGGAAGCCCAGAAAGCCCGGCGGCGCCGCCGGCATGTCGCATTGCTCGAGGTCGAGTTGGACGAGTGCGGCGCAGGAGAAGAGGGCGGGTCCGGGAAGGGGGCGCTGCTTACCGGCTAACGAGAACTCCAGACTTAGATCCTGGACGCCCTTCCGCGCCAAGGCGCGGAGCCAGCGGGCGGCGCGGAAGACGTCGCGGCGGGCGACGCGGGCGCTGAAGAAGCGGACGGGCCGCGCGCACCGCCACAGGGCGCGGCCGCCGCCGGAGTAGGCACGGGGCAGCTCGATCTCGAGGTTTCTGACCGACTCCCAGCGGCGGCGCCACGCGCGGGAGAGACAGGAGGTGCGGACCAGCTTGTCGAAGGGGAGCAGCGCGAGGATGCGGTCGTCGAGGATGTCCGGCGGGAGCGCCATCAGCATGTCCGTGCGCCGCGGCGGCGGCGGCGCCACTCGCTGGCGCTTGGGGGAGGACGGGGAGGAGGGGGAGGAGGAGGAACCCGAGGTCGCCATTGTTTTGGAGGTGGAGGTGGAGGTGGCTTGCTGACGACGCTATGATCCAACGGCCTTCTTCTGGAACCTTCTGCAAGATATTTATAGGGTTGTTTGGAAAGCGAAGGAGCCATACCACGCCGCCTCGGCCTCGTGGGGTGCGGGTGAGCGGCGGCTGCGACGCCGTCAGTATTTCTCCACCGCGACCGGCGTCAGCTAACGAGTTGGGGGGTGAAAGCTGTGCCTGTGCTGTGTTTTGTTATGTTTCTTGGTTCCTAATTTCTGAGGATGGATAGACATAGCGACTTTGGAAGGGAAAGACACTTTTATTTTTTATTTCAGCTGTTTTTCAACACCCAAATTTTATATGGTTTTTTTAATCGAAATTGCGATATGGCATTCGACAGAAATTTGGGATGAAATCTTACAAATTTATTATCACATCGGATATACGGACACACATAAATAACAAAATAAATTACAGAATTCGCTGGGAAACTGTGAGACGAATTTATTAAGTTTAATTAATCCGTCATTAGCAAATGTTTACTGTAGCACCACATTGTTAAATCATGGCACAATTAGGCTTAAAATATTCGTCTCGCAATTTACACGCAATCTATGTAATTTTTTTTTCCTATATTTAATACTCTATACATATATCCAAACATTTGATATGATAACGTGAAAATTTTTGTGTTGGGAACTAAACAGGGCCTAAGTGTTGGCCGTGTGCTTGTCAGCAGAAGCCACGAAAAAAAGCTCTGCAGCTTGCAGCTAGCTGTGTTTAACTGTTGGTTTCAGTATCAGTATTCTGAGTTGACTGCTAATGCAAATGTTTAACATTACTCCTGCTGCCGGTTTCTAGCTCATCTGGAAACTAAGAAATGGGATAGTATGCAGGAGTTTTGCCATTTTGGATTATACTGTTTCAGAATCAAGCCACATCAAGTATAAATTATCGAGGCTTGACTGCTGATGCAAATGATTTTACAGGGTTCGTGCAGAGGTTTGGGCTTCTCTGAAAACCGGGGAATGACAAATATGCAGGCGTTTTGGAGGTCGATGGTTCAGAATCAAAGACTGAACAATATGGATGCTTATGTTGGTCTGCTGATGCAAAATTTGAAGAGCCTGCTTGGCACTGACAGACTGAAGATACAACAAAGCTTCCAGTCTTCCAGGAATCAAGGTTGTATCAATTGAACTAAGGCAGAAAGGTTGATAAATTTTATGCAATGTGAAATCCTGCTGCTGTGATTAACATCATGATACAAGGTAAATCCACTATGTCTGATGCAATTTACATCCAAGACCAACAGAAACTCTGTTACTCCTGTTCATATCAGAGCAATATCGAACAAAGAACAGAGCAAAGTTCATACCAAGATTCACAACGTTCTCAGATTTCTATTGCATTTGATATAGACATATAGTTACAGCCATGATAATACAAGATGATGTAAATATAGTAGATAGAGGCACATGATTAGTTGTGCCAGACATTAGTTACATCAAGAATCGGAGTTGTCCTGTTACAAGGTGGTGCCTACAACTAAAAGAGCCTAGTATCCGTGCAGGATGGCGCAGCGAGGGTGGTGATGGTGGCCGCCGGCGACCTGGACCGCGCGCGGCGAGCAGGCGATGCTGGAGCCGCGCCTCTGGTAGGGATGGTGGCGGCGGCGGCGGCGCCACAGCGGAGACGTGCCAGACTCTGCGTCGGACGGCACGGGGGACGGAGGCGGCGTGCTGGGGCTGTACTCCGGCGACGCGGCCCGTGGCGGTGGGGACAACGGCGTGTAGTCCGGCGACGCGGCCCGGGGCGGAGGCGTCGAGGGCGTGTAGTCCAGCGACGCCGCGCGGCGCGGAGGAGTCGGAGTCGAGGGCGTGTAGTCTGGCGACGCGGCGTGGCGCTGAGGAGTCGATGGCGTGTAGTTCGGTGACGCGGCGCGGCGTGGAGGCGTCGGAGTCGATGGCGTGTAGTCCGGTGACGCAGCTCGGGGCGGAGGCGTCGAGGGCGTGTAGTCCGGTGACGCGGCGCGGCGCGGAGGAGTCGGGGTCGAGGGCGTGTAGTCCGGTGACGCGGCGCGGCGTGGAGTAGTCGGAGTCGAGGGCGTGTAGTCCGGAGACGCGGCGCGCCGCGGAGGCGTCGATGGCGTGTAGTCCGGCGAGGCGGCGCGCCGCGGACTCCCCATCACCATCGGGCTCGACGGCGTGTACCCCGGAGACGAAGCACAGCAGAAGCACCCCTCGCCGCCGCTACCGACACCTAGCTCCTGCAAGAAGAACAAGAAAGGGGCATCACCACGTACCTGAATCCGCGAGGAGCCGCAGCAGCAGCAGGAGGACGCCGATGAGGAGAAAGAATCCGCGGCGGCGGAGCAGGACGCGCAGGAGGACGCCGCCATCGCCATCGCCATCAGAGCACGAGATCGCGGGGGAGAAGAAGAAGAAGAAGCGGATCGGAGGCGGTAGATCGAGCGAGGCGCGGCGGGGTGGGAAATGGGAGAGGGGATCGAGAGGGGCGCGGCCTTTTATGTAGGGCGAGGCGGTGCGATGCGACCAGATCGAAACCAAAAATCGGGAGTCGGAGTGCAATGACGGTAACTTGGCGCGCCGGGAAGTTCTCGCGTGGGGAGTGGGGACAACGCGAAGATTTGGGACATTAGTAGGAGGAAAAAGTACACCAAACATCCCTCAATTTATCAAAATCGTATCTGGGCATCTCTTAACTAATCAAAACCGATCATAATAGGTTTTTTGGTGGTTTTGACATGGGTTTTGTCCGACGTGGCGGCTGAGTTAGCATAGGATCCACGTAGACCCAACATATCAGGATGCCACGTCATCTCTCTTCCTTCCTCTCTCTTTCAGTCTTCTCTGCCGTAGGCCGATCAACGGGGCGAGGCGGGAGAGGAGGAGGGTGGCGCCGCGAAAGCAGGCAGCAGCGGCTGTAGCGGGGAAGCACGGCGGCAGCCCCGCGGCGGCCAAAGATGGGCAACGCCGTGGCGAGGCTGGAAACGCAAATATTTCCGCGGATTTTTGCCACGGCGGTGCGCGGCCGCAACCACGACCCATATAAGCTAAGCCGCCCATGCCGTTGTCTCTGCCGTGTCTGGTTCTCCGCTACCTCCCAATAAACTAAGCTTTGGCGCATTGCTAGCTCCCGCCTCGCGCGATGTCTCTGAGGAAGAGGAGCTCGAGCTCGCTGGCCGGCCATTTCTTTATCCGCGGACGCTTCTGCATTCGTGCGAGTGGGCGGGATGGGGCTCGTCGGTGGCCTCCTGTCACACCCTGAAAGTTCTTTTCCCAAGCCTAAATTAGATTTATAAATCAACTAAAAAAATATCGGTGTAAAAGCATGAGAGAAATCCTAATAAATTAATACAAATAATAATCGGAATTGGCATATGGAATTTTTCGTGAGTTCTACATGTCGAAATATGCTAACAAGATTTTTAGTGGAATTTTCAGAGCTCTAGAAATAATTTTAACCAATTAAAATTGAGCACAAGCAATATTTAATCCCTGAAAATTCATTTCCCTTTTCTTTTTCCTTTTTCCCTCCTTTTTCCTAATTGGCCGCCAGCCCATTTTCCTCCCCTCCCCACTGGGCCAGCCGAAGGCCACGGCTGTCACGCCCAGAAGTTTCCCCTTTTTCTTGCTTTAAAAATTGGATAAATAAATTGCCCGAAGAAATTATCTTAATTAACCTAGAGCTAAATCCCTAGTTAATAAATGCAATTAATAATCGGAAATAGCGTGGTGGAATTTTTCTTGAGTTCCCCATGCTCTAATGCATTAACAAGATTTTTAGTGGAATTATCAGAGCCTTGGAAATAATTTTAACCAATTAAAAATCACCAAAGTGCAATTTTAAATCCCAGGAAAAATCCTTTCTTCTTTTTCTTTTTCTTTTCCTTCCTTTTTCTCTAGATGGGCCGTCGGCCCATCTCTCTTCCCGCGCTCGGCCTCCTTCCTCTGGGCCGGCCCGTTCCCCTTTCCCCTCCCCGAAGTCCTCCCTCCCTCCCCTCTCTCCGGGACGCTGACAGGTGGGGCCCACCTGTCAGGTCTTCCCCTTCCTCCAGCCGCCCGCCCCACGACGGCAACCGCCGCCGAAACCGTCCGCGCCGCCGCCTTCTTCGCTCCTCCCGCGCCCACGCCGCGCCGCTCCCGCGTCCTCCCCACGTCGCCGTCCTCTCCCCCGCATCTCCCGGCCCTCGCGCGCGCTCGCAAGGGGCGGGATTCGAATTTGAATCCCCCCCATTCTCTCTCTCTCTCCACCCCCACGTCGCCGGCCAAATCGGCCACCACCCCGGCCATGTCCGCCCCCTCCCGCACCTATAAATCACTCCCCACGTCCCCCTCTCTCGTTGTTCGCACTCGCCGCGCCCTCCCGTGCTTCCTATCGTCGCCGCGCCGCTCGCCCCTTGCGCCGCCGCCTACCGCCGTCTTCGGCCGCGCGCCACCGCCGCTAGAGCCGCTGCCGCGCCGTGAAGCCGCCGTCGTCGCGCTCGCGGGTGCCGTCCGCTCCTCGGCCGCCGCTTGGTTGCCGCCAATCACCCCCGAAGCCCCATTTCCCTCGCTCGCCGGTGAGCTCTCCTTTTTCATCCATCTCCGGCCGGCCACTTTGGTCGTTGCGGTCGTCCTCTCCACCCCTAATCCCTCTCCTCCTTTCCTATAGGTGTCGCCTCCGCCCGTCCGCCCCTCCTCGTCGCCGGGTCACCGCCGCCTTTCATCCTCCGCTCTGGTCGCCGTGCTCGCCGGTGAGGCTCCCCTCTGCTCCCCTTTTTCCCTCTCTCCCGTGTGCGCCGCCGTCCTTCGCGCGTGCGCCGTCGCCTTCGGCCGCTGCCGCCGCTTTTCGCGCCGCCCGCCGCCGCCTCCCACGCCGCCGGTTGCCGTCGCCGGCGACCGCATGCCGCCGCCGTTCGCCATGCTTGCCGGCCGGCTTGAAGCCGAGGCCGAGCCCGGTGGCTGCTCCCTGCACCGTCCGATCGGCTTGGGCCGATCCAGACCCTTGGTCCCGTGGACCGGCCGCCTTGAGCCGCTGACATGCGGGCCCCGCTTGCCGGCACCCCCTTCCTCTCCCCTTTGAGCCGCTGACCCGTGGGCCCCGCCTGTCGGCGCCGCCCCCCCCCCTTCGCTGACGTCAGTCCTGGGTATTATTGCGCAATAATTAATTAAGGACTTTTTCTTTATTAGTAAAAACACAGTTTATCTTCTAAAATTCATAAGTAATTCATCCGAGCTCCG